TTCAGATTTCAACTCCTGTTCCATTTGTCTAGCATTTGTCCTCAAAGAAAAATATTAGATTCAACACAGCAGAATCTCAGGTTTGGCCTTTAGTACTACGAATGACCATATCAGACAAAAGGGACAATGTATGGTTAATACGTTTTTTATGATGACTTCCCACAAGATTCATTGAGTGAAACTACTCCCCTCTTTCCCTTATGTTCCTGATTTAATTACTATTGTTTAATTAATCCTAACATTAATCACATAACATAAGACAAATACATTAGGCTCAGACCAATTAATGAACCAAGTAATTTATGCTAATTTTATGGCTATTTTCATTCTCCTTTGTTTCAAATAATCCATTATACATCACTCTCACCAGGGTAATCTCAAAACAAATCTATCTGGATTAAAATATGGCTTAATATGATGCAAGTCATCTTTAGATCTTTTAAGTCCAAGAATATGAGCAACATGACATGAACCATGATAGGCAAGTATCCATGACAAGATTCATTTAAGAGCAATTACAATTTGAATGCCCAAAACCAAAATTGCTGAACCTTTTACATGTACAAAAAAATTGTAGATTTGCATACGAACATCATGAGCTAAATGAAATCTACCTTATGGAATTGGTTGTCTATTGACACAAGGTAAAACACCCTCCAAAGCATAAGTTATAAGATATAACAGCCTCTGAAACATAAGTTATAAGGCAAAACAGGCTTAAAAAACTAGGTATACAATAAAATATCATTTGAAACAAAAGGCATACAAACTTTCAAAACGTCAGTAGTTTTTGTTTGGTACAAGATTTTGTAACTGTCTTACAAAACCATCCTCCGATCACAGGGCTTCAAAATCCAGAATATATTCTTTCTTTTTACCCCCTGCGATAAGCAGTAAGCATTTCTCCGATTAAGAACTCGCAGTCTGATTGGCTGTCGCAACACTGTGACAGAAATCATGTATAAGTCATTACGCATAATTAGATCACGTGATTCAGTTAAATCGGGCGCTTCCAAATTGGTTATTGCATGGGAGAGAAGGAGGTTCGGATTCTTGACACCTGCTTAGGAGGATGAACAGAACACATCTCTAAGAATATAAACATATAATATAGGAGGAGGGTAGAAAAATAAAGTTTAAGAAGATTCCTGATACATCCTTGCAGCAAGGGTATAGTATTCAAGCATAAATGAAGTCCTTTGAAGAAGGATGCCCTCGTGGACCTCTACCCTCAAAGGTTCATGGCTACATATCTTAGAAAATTCTAAGTACACTGAATTCAACCAGGAGTATAACCACAAATTACACACACATCAATTTCGAATTCCTAAGTTCTTAAAATTCAAAGACATCATAAAAATGGTGGTTTATGTGAATGTGAAATGTGTTCATAATTAGCATACTTCCAGCACTATGATAAATCATCAATGCATGCTGTTTGCGAATGAAGATTTATAGATTGAGGTGTCATAAAGAAATCTCAAGTAATAAATCTCTGTAGCTTAACTCAGTATGTATTTGTCAAAAATAATCATAATTAATGACTTCCATTTTTATTGAAAACTCAAAGTGATTAAAATATTCATGATAAAGAAAGAATAGAAATAGAATGCAAAAGTACATCCTCTGAATTTCAGGATTCAAATTCATAAGGATTTATAACCTTATCATCTTTGGTAGATTAAGAGACTTATAGAGCAGTATGGGCTGATTCAAATCTGAGAGTTGGGTAACCCCCACCCCATTCAAGGATATAAACAAGGGTTAATTCTTACTCAGTCTGACCTAGAAAGGCCTCCAATACATGTACATGTACCGCTAGCGGATCTAGACGGGGATGTGGGGGGGGGGCATGTGCCTAAAAAGGGCATGTGTCAAAATAGATTGTCAATAACGCATTGCATAAGCAATTTTCGAAATTTTTCCCCCAGACCCACCTTTTCTCGCGCTCACTGCTTTACTCACAGCTATTATCAAACGCCTTCCTAACACAAAATCCTGGATTTATGTACTAGATTATGTCCAATAGGCTAAATGTAAAAATATGAGCTTAGTGAGGCTCTTTTGTCTATAATGCTGATTTAGTTGAGGCACGAAGGACTAATCATCATTTCTGGATAAATTTCAACATTTTGATTTGCATACTGAGCTATAAAGAAATTTCACCCTAAAACAAACATCATCTCAAGATACCAGTGATCACTGGGGAGTATCGTGATGCAACAACACCGTGTTGTTGCATCAAGATGGCCAGACTTCCGGTGATAGATTTTCGTACGATAAGTTGTTTCCCCAATTTAAACCCAATTTTAGGACGAGTTTCTCAATAACCATACACGTGAAGTTAGCGCATGATCTATATTTAAAGAAACTGTCATTAGTATACATGTAGCATCATCAAGAAGCAAGAAGTTCACGGTTTTAGTTCCTCACTATTGATGCAACAACACCAAACCGAAGATGCAACAACACTCTTCTAGATTTGAGCAATGATGCAACAACACCAATTAATAGTATAATTTCAGAAGACCATAAATCTCGAGAGGAACAGATTTTTAAATGCAACTATTGCAACACCGGGCCAGTACCCATTTGCGTTCTTCTCAGGCATTCAAAATACATGTCCTGCGGGCGAAGATTCTTTATATGTATTTTTTTCAAAAATTTATACTTTTAAATACAGTATCATAATGTACTGGAAGTTGTTTTATAACATAGTTCAATCGCCTTTAACATTGCAAGCTATAGTAACCCAATTTAATATCATAAACCCCTGTTCCATAGCTTGATGACCCTGATACCAGTTAGTATCATTCAAAATGGTAGACAAACATCTTTCGTTCTCGGTAAACACGACAAGCTATTGGAAATCTTGCACAGCGCACATGTAGAAGTATTGTTCTCTTTGGATTCGTTCTCCCCGATTGAGTAAAAAGGTAGGTAATTTAGGTCCCGAAAAGGTAAATTGATAGGGGTACAGTAATCCCAGATTCCCCCTGGGCCCTTGGGAAATATCATAATGTGTCCGGAATAAAACCAATATTGAATCCCTCTCAGTAAATAACCTCTATATAATAGCATTGTATAACTGCAATATCATTAAACCAACACTCATCGGAAGTTATGGCGTTTTGAAAACTCAAAATCGCTAAATTTGGTGCCCCGTGTTAAGTCAATGGGCAAAAAAAAAAATTTTGAAGTGTAAAATACGACATATATACGACCGAGTACAGCTTAATTTAATGAAAGCCTTTAAATGAAGGGTACCTCAAAAGCAATCTAGCTTCAGAATTTGGGCACAAAAATGTCTAGGTCAAAATCTAGGTCAAATTCAAAGTTTTCCTTATTTTTGTGATTCTGACACTACACTTCAATTATATTCTTCGAAATTGTGTATACATGTAGCCAAGAGTGTACTAATAGTGTTAGCCTTGAGATATGGTGTCCAAAAAGTAGTTCAAAATAAAAAATTCTCCAAAATTAACGTTTGAGTTATGAATGAAGAATAGAATTTTCTCAGGAATCAGAATCTGCAAACCAAATTTCGATCCGACTTCCGGTTCGGAAGTTATGGCGTTTTGAAATTTCGAGAAAAATCGATCTGATGGTATCCTGATAGAAAGTCAAGAGTAGCGAAGAAAATGTTGAAAAATCCATCCATCCTTCCATCCATCCTTCCTTCCTATCCTATCCTACCATTCTATCCTATCGTTCCTTCTTATTCTATCCTATCCTTCCTATCCTATCCCTTTTATCCCTATCCGTTCCTTCCTATCTATCCTTCATATCCTTTTCTTCCTATCTATCTATCCTTCCTATCCTTTCCTTCCTATCCTTTCCTTGCTATTCTATCCTATCTTTCTTCTCTATTCTCTCCCATCGTTCCATCCTATTCTGTCCTATCCCTCCTTCCTATTTCATCCATCCATCCATCCATCCATCCATCCATGTTTTTCTGGATGACTCGGCTTAAAAAAGTCCAGATCTGGAGTCTGAAATTGAACTTGTTCAATTTCCAAAGTCTAGTTATATTATTCTTTGTAAACAATTTCCATACGATACGGTAAATCAAGGGGATTTAATTTAGAAAATGAATAATCTTTATTTTTCAGATACAATATCAATGAGGTTGGCTTCCGGGGATTCAATACTTAGCCTATGTATTTAGTTTACCTTGTATATCCTTTTTATCTTCTGAATAAATTTTTTCTAGTAAACTAGTAATACTAAATACAGATCTCAAATTCTTTTGTATTGCCTAATGGGAGTTTTTCTCTTCTGCGCCCTTTCACATACTTACTAACAATTTTTTATGGCGAAGCTGAAACTCATTATATACATCCATGATGAAAGCATATCATCAAGATAATTGTTTTACTAGTTTAGGTGGGGCATTAAAAATGCTCCACATAAGCTCTTCTTCAGGAGGAAGAAGGGGAGGTGGAGGGAGAAATCGTAAGCTGCTTACCTCAAATCTTTATATAAGTTGTGTATCAATCGAAACGAATCCAGCGAAGTTTCAATCCTTTGTTTTGCTGCTTTCGGGGACGCTATTTACCTGACCTAATTCTCTGGCTTCTGATTGGTTGGTTCCAGCGCGGTCTTTTCAAAGCTGGTTTAAAAGTTGGAAACAGGCACAGAAGACTCCCTTACAAAACTTCATTGAATATAAATCCATTATTTTAACATAATGGTTATTTATCTTCTGAATAAATTTTTTCTAGTAAACTAGTAATACTAAATACAGATCTCAAATTCTTTTGTATTGCCTAATGGGAGTTTTTCTCTTCTGCGCCCTTTCACATACTTACTAACAATTTTTTATGGCGAAGCTGAAACTCATTATATACATCCATGATGAAAGCATATCATCAAGATAATTGTTTTACTAGTTTAGGTGGGGCATTAAAAATGCCACAAAACATTCTGATCTTATCAGATGTTGCCCCACCAAAAAATTTTTAATACCTTCTGGATATCAAAGTCGACACAAATTATCATTATCACAAATAACAAACTACTTTATTCCTGAGATTCTAATATCATACAAAGAAATTTTCTACAGCTTTCTTGTGAAGTTTAAGTGATCATTAATCGATCTTGAGTATACTTAGACTAGACTACGTTCTTTCATGCATCTTTTGCGATACATTTATTCGTTGTTATCTCAAAACTCTAATTTGGTTTAACGAAACAACTGTTTTCTCATTTTTGCTTTGACTATACTATCCGCTACTTTGGCTAAAACAAATGTCAGAAAATTTTTATGTCTTTTATGAAAATATTCTGTTCCATTCTTAATAACAATTTTATAAGCATTGACATGAATACTTTGTTCAGTAACGAATAAGATTTGCACTGGTTATATAATCTTTACTGTAAGATTATTCTACTATATTACACTATTCATCTAGCACCTGAGCTTTAACTTCGTGGTCCATAAGCATTGTCCATATAAAAATAAATGTCTATTTACACGCATCCTTAAAGCACCTTTACAGCAGATCCATTCATATTTTTATTTCCTCCTCAATCTATTTCCAAGCACATCTCTATTTACACATCCCTAATATATTTCTTATAGGCATCTGAACGCCAACGACCTAAACGTCGAATAGTTTGTTCTGACAGACCTTGTGCTGCTGCGTACGTGGCTCCCCCTATCCTGAAAGAATGGCCTTTGTATCCCTGCAGATGTAAACCATTCAATTGTAATAATCTATTGAGACACGTTGTGAATTCCGCTCGTTTTACTGGTAATCCATTCTCGTGAATGAATAATTGAGGGGTGTTGTAGTTTACCCGGAGATTCAAATATGCAAATAAGAGACTAACCGGACAAATATGGGATCCTTGTGGATGTAAGGATAACGAAGCACTCTCTCCAGGCTTGGAATGTTTATATGATGTCATGGTTATCACAAACTTATTTTCATTTGCTATGAATGTCACATTTTCCCGATTCAATGTATGGCCTGTTCCATCTACTACCATTTCTCCTACTCTTAATAAAGCAAAAAAGGCCACCGAGAACATAGTAGCATATAGTAATGGCTCCCACGAATTGCCTTGATCTTTCCTGACTGTAGCTACCAAGGTTTTCAATAAAGGAATAGTAATCGGACGACGTGTATCTATTTGGGGTTTATGACGCGTGTAACCCATCAGTGTCTCTTGCACCAAGAAATGCTTTGTATTATCCGGTAAGCCTGCCATCTTTTGCTTATAGGCTAAGGCGGACATCATTGTCCTTACTGTTGAGGGGGCCAATGACCTTGATAGATATGTTACAAACAAGGACAAGGTGTGAGCATCCGCAGATAGAACTCTAAAGTGAAATTCATCCTCAAAAGACTGTATATATCTGTCGAGTTGATTATAAGTTTTATGTGTCCCTTTACATTTTGCATTCTTCAACAAATTATCACGTCCTTTAATAAGGCTTTTGGACTTGCCTCGTGTGGGATTCGCGTTGGTAGGGTGTCGGCACCCGGGTGTTGTCGCCGGAAACCCTGCAAATCAAAACGTGATAAGGCGTCACATCCCACATTATCAACACCTCTTATGTGTTCTGCTTTGAACAATATATTATTTGACATCATGCGCAGCATCAAGGGACGTACTAGCGTCATTAAATTCTTGTCATTGGCTGAACATTTATTCAATACATGTACTAATGCTTCATTGTCAGTGTAAAAAATCACTTTTTTATTAGCCATAACTTCCTGCCATGTGTATACGGCAGCTAAAATGGGGTATAGTTCTAAAGTAGCTATATTCATTTCCTTAAATTCTTCGTCCCATGCCCCATCGAACCATTTGTCTCCAAATATGGCCCCGTATCCTTTGCTACCCGCAGAATCTGTATAGACTGACAGAGTTTCTGGAGCCCCCCATTCGTCATCATGCAGGAAACCTCTACCATTAAAATTCTTTAAAAAGGAAGCCCAAGTGTTCATATCCTCGCGGCTTTCATGGTTGAGGCGTATGTGGTGCCACGATTCCGACACACCCTTGGTGAGATCAATGATTCGCCGAGAAAAAGCACGCGCGCATGGAATGATCACACAGCAAAAGTTCAGACATCCTATAATTTTTTGAAGTGTTTCAAGCGTGATCTTTCTCTTTTTTCTATTTATTTCCAGAAGTTCTATGTATTTTATGATTTTTTCCCTAGGCAAACGCGCTTCACAACGTCTCGCATCTAACTCAATTCCAAGAAAAGTCATCACTGACTCGGGCCCACAAGTCTTCTTTTCCGCGAGAGGAACACCTGTATATTTACAGAGTTCTATAAAGGAGGATAAATCTTTTTCGCAGTTTTGACGGTTTTCAGCAATGATCATAAAATCGTCGAGCAAGTGCACCATATGGCTTATTTTGAGTTTGTTTATCGCCGCCCAATGTATTGCTTGACTAAAAATTTCGAATAGTTGACATGAGTGAGACAAACCCATCGGCAGAACTCGGTCATAATAATAATACCCATCTAACATGAAACCTAACAGAAAATAGAAGTCTGGGTGAATTGGGACATTTCTGTATGCGCTTTCAATATCAACTTTCGCCATTTTTGCATTTGGACCAATTTGAATCAATATTCGAATTGCATCGTGAATTGTTTGGTATTGTACTGTAGAGAATTGAACTGATATACCATCGTTCACCGATTGTCCCTTTGGATGGCTTAAGTGATGAATTCTTCTGAATTTACCCAATTCTTGTTTTGGAACGACCCCCGTCGGTGATGTGACGAAAAAAGGAGTTGGCTTACATGGAAAAGGACCTGCTATTCTTCCCAATGAAATTTCCGATTGAACTTTTTCTAATACTTTCTCTGGATGTTGATAAGCCGAGATTAAATTACGCTTTGTTGACTTAGGAATTTCGCCATGAAACGGTAGCTTAAAACCTCGTTGGAAACCATTTACTAGAAAAGTTTGTTTTTCTATATCGTATCCATCCAGAATCATCAGTAAAGCATTTGGGTTTATCGGAGTAGGAAGATTTTTTGGAATTGTTAATGTTTTCCTATTAGCCAAAATATATGGGATAATTGGATTTGAACTATCTTTTGTTAAATCGGGAGGTATGTCCACCCCTCCCGAATGAACTTTTTGGTGAGAATTTGTTGTTAAATTTGTTTTGACTTGTTGAGCCGGACTTCGACGTACATTTTGACATTCTGTGGAACTTTCCACATTCTGAACACACGTGGCGGTATTTGCATTCTGAATATTGGCAGAACTGGCCTTTGTTCCAACGGATACACACGGGTTTTTCGTCACGAAAAGAACTAGAATTAGAGGCATTCTCTTTATAATGTTGAGACCCATTGTGCCCACTTGATTTCAATAACGTAGCTGCCAACATAAGCTCATTATTAGGCACCGCCCAGTCCAAACCAAATTTCTTATTTCTGCGGAAATTCTCATCATATTTCGCCCAATCTGCCCCTGGGGACAAACTGAGACTTAATATATGCGCCCCATATTTAAACAATTTCAAGGCTTGATCTGGGTGATATGGTACATACACTGTCATGAAAACATAAAAAGCACTTTGCCATTCCGCAAAAGACCATACTTTCTTCTTTTTGTCACTAGGTGCCAGCACTACAGACGTTGAACCATCTTCATTCTTTTGACTACTACATTGCAAAATTTGTTTGTTGTCGTCCTTTGATAATGAAACAAAATCTATGTAATCATCATTTATGATCTTTTGCTTCAGGCTTGTGCTTACATGGCTATCTAAATGTGTACCTTGCAATTGAAGGGTATTTCTTGATGTGTCCCATACACTCGCGGGAGCGATCATCATAGGCTGGCCCATGCCCACCTGTGTATTTCCCATTGTTTGTCCTAGGGGGAGCATCGGACCTCCTTGTTGGTTCACGCCAATTTGCTGACCCATGTCTGCTTGCTGATGTTGCCCTTGCATCGCGCCCATGTTTAGTTGGCCCTGACCTTGCATTAATGGTATATTGTTCATATTCCCCTGCTGAGGTTGAGCTACATGTCCTGGGAACATATTTTGCCCTTGACCCATATTCCATTGCCTTCCTTGGGGAAATTGATGATAAGCCATTAAGCCTTGATCTGCTTGTCCCCCGATTTGTCCCAGCTGACCCATGTCGGCTGGTCTCATATTTTGATTCAGACCACCCTGATGAAATTGTTGACCTTGCTGGCCCATACCTGCCTGGCCTCCCATCTGATGTATTTGTTGACCTAGCTGGCCCATACCAGCTTGGCCCATTTGCTGATTTCCTATACCTGGCTGGCCCATACCTGCCTGGCCCATCTGATGGAATTGTGGACCTGGCTGGCCCATACCTGCCTGGCCCATCTGATGAAATTGCTGACCTGGCTGGCCCATACCAGCCTGGCCCATTTGCTGATTGACTGGACCCTGTATTTGTTGATTGCCTTGGTTTAGCTCCACTTGTCCTCTTTGCTGTCCCGGCTGGCCCATACCTGCCTGGTCCATTTGTTGTCCAGGCTGACCCATGTCTGCCTGACCTATTTGTTGTTGGCCTGCACCTGCCGCTGCTGGTGCTCTTTGTTGGGCCCCATCTCCTGGTTGTTGCCCTATATTGGCTAGGACAGGTTGTGGATCTCCTCCGCCCTGGGCTGGCTGTTGCTGTGGTCCTATCACCTCTGGGGCTGCTTCTGGCTGATTTGGGGGGTCCATTACATCGACCATTCCACCCTGTGGGGGAATCCCTGGAGGGTTGTTCATCCCTCTTCAGTGTACCTACAAAGAAGACATTATTAAACTCCCTGAGCAGAGTGTCAACTCTACCAAACATTTATATAAATTCACATGTATAGCAATCACCTGTTAGCGAACAGATATACATTAAAAGCGTATAATGCACCAAAACTAATGCTATTTTAAACAAATCAGCTGATATTTAAGCATACTTTTAATTTTCACTTTAAAATATCCAGATATTACTTCTATTTCTAGATTGTATTTTGTCAAAATTGGTGTAAATTTTTATCACAACACTGATAGCGAATGTGCAATTATGCGAATATGCCTTGTAAATGTCTCTGCGGGACTTAAATTTAAAATAAACATCATGCTGTCTATAAAGCTAGAAAAGCGAGATTTAAACATAAGCAAAGGCTAAGCATATACACTATCACCACGGGACAAGTAATGTTAATTCCAACAGCATTACATTAGTAAGGTCTCAGCAATAACTTTTATCCCGCAAACACAACATCATCCATAAGAAATAAGAAAATCTTTAGAGCGACAACAGAGCTTATAAATAGTACCTCTGCAGGACACATGAATCTGAGACCCTCTCCCTACTACAATATAAGCAATTGGCTCTATAAGCGTAAAAGCGTACATACAAAATTACATGTCCAGCGGGACTAGACATATAAGCGAAAGTCTATCTATGTGTAAAAGCGTAACCAAAAGTTAATAAATATGTCTCAGCGGGACAAGAAATATAAGCGTGGGACTCCTATAAGCGTAAAAGCGTATCCATAGAGTTAAAACATGCCTCAGCGAAAGCGAAGTCTCTATGCAGAAAAACGTAAGCAAACAGTTAATAAAAACATGCCTCAGCGGGACAAATAATATAAGCGTGGGACTTCTTTAAGCGTAAAAGCGTATGCACAGAGTTAAAACATGCCTCAGCGGGACAAAATTTGTTGCAACCATATAGATATAGGCTAGTAACCTAAGCTCATTTGATCCCAAAGCAACAAACATGCACCTACACTTAATCACCTGGATTGTCGCTCCTCGCAATGTCCTCCAGAATTTTTTATGTCCCCTTCTATTCAAATGGGTTCCATCTTCTTGAAGAAGGTCTTGTGCAAATAACTGAACACCTTTAGTATACCATAGATGAATGTTTTTGAGGTCTTTAAATTTCTCTTTCAATAGCCTATTTGTCATCTCCACTTTTCTATTATAAATTTCTGCTTCTTCATCTGTGCGCAATCTGCAGGAGGGGGCGTCTGATACCCCTCTGTAGAAGAGTTTTCCGACATATACCAGTGGTACCTTCTCTTGAATTCTCTTGGCTAGGTGAATAACTTTGTCCACCACTTCCTTTACTTCGCCAATACAATCTCTACCAGTCAGCTGATTTCCACCCACTTGTATAAATGCTCCATCAAAATTACAGAGATTGATGTGTTGAAGGCGCTTTTCCCACAAACTTTCTGTCGATGCACCACTCAGTCCCTCAAAAGTCAACAACGCATTTGTTAGTCCAAGGTTTGATGGGCATTTCCAAATCACTGGGGGGGACTCTATCCTACTTACGAAGCTATGACCCGCTATTAACATGCGTGGCAGCCTCATTGTTTGGACCCTGAAACATTGATATAATTAAAACCTAAAGCCCATGCTTCAAGTTAACTCGTATCACGTGATTGATTTTAAATGACCATTTCACCTATTATCGCCCATTATTATATGTCGGGAAAAACGTACCCCAAGTGCATTTGCTATTGATCCACCCCCATGCCTAGCCACGCGCGTGATGCGTGATCATTTTTAAAAGACTGCGCAATATTTTATAGCCTCTATAAAAGTCCCATAAAAACATTTTACACAACTAAATATGACTGTTTGATGCGTAATGGCTTTGTTTTTTAAAAACTATGAACATCAAAACACATCTCGGACTGTTTAACAAGGTTACTTTGTCCCGTTTTCCCGAGCGTTGAGATGCCATTTTTTGGCCTCCATTTTCTGTCAACTCGAACGATAGTGAACGTAAAATTGATGCAAAACGTCCCTAAAACCACTATCCTGATAAGCTTGCGATCTAATTTCATTGAGGTAATGTATTGATACAAGTCTTCGACGCTAGCAACATTCAAATAGTTCACTTCAAATGATATCCCAACGCTTTAAACAACATCCAAACTTCGGCTAAAAGATCGCCATTCAAAATTGCCTTTTCCAAAAATAATTTCTCATTTCGGTCCTCGAAATCTCAAACCCCCGTGAACTATTTACGTCGAGACTTCTTCAGCACGTACAGCGAAAGCTTATCTCATAGAAATCGTAAGCTGCTTACCTCAAATCTTTATATAAGTTGTGTATCAATCGAAACGAATCCAGCGAAGTTTCAATCCTTTGTTTTGCTGCTTTCGGGGACGCTATTTACCTGACCTAATTCTCTGGCTTCTGATTGGTTGGTTCCAGCGCGGTCTTTTCAAAGCTGGTTTAAAAGTTGGAAACAGGCACAGAAGACTCCCTTACAAAACTTCATTGAATATAAATCCATTATTTTAACATAATGGTTATTTACTTTGATAAAGACAAATACATTAAGGAATCAAACAAAATATGTTTCATTCATGAACCACGCACTCACGCGTTTTATTCATGTCCCGACCAACACCTATAAACAGAACATAAAACAGTTTCTCTTGATATTCAATGATACATTATATTGGCGTTTTTGCATCAGCACATTGGTGTTGTTGCATCATTGATAATAAACAGAGTGGTGTTGTTGCATCAATAGTGAGGAATTACCGCGAATTTCTCGCTTCTTGATGATGCTACATGCATACTAATGAGAGTTTTTTAAAATATAGATCATGAGCTAACTGCACGTGTATGATTATTGAGCAACTCGTCCTAGAAATTGGTTTAAATTGGGAAAACAAAATATCGTACGAAAATCTATCACCGGAAGTCTGGCCATCTTGATGCAACAACACGGTGTTGTTGCATCACGATACCCCCCAGTGAGTGATGTTCATAACTCTTCAAAACTGAAATAATTGGTACTCAAGTTGTGTTTTTATGTATCAATTGTTATCTGGTGTTTTTACATGACGATTAAAACTTGTGTAGTACCCTTTGTCTTATCTGACAAGTTTTATATTGATAGGTATTAATTTTTAAAACTGAAGGTAGGCTGAGTGAATTTACCCAAGAGAAGTTGAGAGGGGAACAACAATCTTTGATGGTCATAATATGATACATTCAATATTGAGTCCTCAAAAACTGACATCACCATGGTATTTCATCATTTTAAACTTCTAAATCTCAATTCCTACACTTAATGAAAAATTTACTGTCCTAGATCAAAACTTCTTCATGTCTCATCCTAGACATAATGGATTCCAGAACCCACAATCCTACTAGGCCTACCTTAACTGCACATAACAAAGAACATACCAGTTGTTCATCTTAAATAGATATTTTTGTAATATTATGCCACATGCTCATAGACAACCTATTAATTTATCATTAATGATGATATATAGGCTTTAATAGCATAAAAAGATGATTAGCCATTATGCCATGCATCATTCTGAAGGATAATAGGTACACCCTTTTATTAACATTGATGCATTTTCTAAATAATATGCTGGTATTTAGCAATAGGAAGTCATGTCAACTTATACTAGTATACAGAAAAACCAAAGAGGTACTCTGAGTTAGACCCTTGTACATTAGTTATGCACATGAAACTCACTTTTAATGAAGCAGAATCAAACTACTCTATTGAAAAGAGTACCAATCAGCTTTGAAGAAGGATGGATATGGTCTTGAAGTATGAAATAATTCAATATCAGATATCTAAAGCTTCCCCTGATTAATACAGATACATGTATCCAACCCTGGTATATCAAGTCTAATTGCCTCAGTCATTTTACAATAGCAACCGGTCTTCAAAAGATCTTAAAATACATAACACCCAGAATCTGGAACCAATAGGGAATTTCAATTTGGTTAAAACCCATTCTGATTTCGGTCTGTAATTTTCTTAGGATAGAGGCTAGGAATGATATTATGGCTGGGACAACTACTAGAACATTCTTGTTTGAAAAATTCATAACTCTATTGCTTTCTGTTATGATGTAATGGCATCCAAGGCTTCAATGATGGTGTAATCTTAACCAATATATTTCTGATAATAAACCCCTGGGCATTTTATATTCAGTCTTTTGTTAAATCTATAATCTGTTGAGTAGTAATTCCTCATTGAATCAAGACTGTATTTTCCCATCAACATCTTAAGAGTGAAATCTCATTTTCTTCAAACCTAAGACAAACATGACTTTGGGGTCTACATGAAGATGAAGAAGAAAAATGATTATTTTTCATCAGATTCTTGATTAGAATTGCTATACGGGGTGCTACTTACGACTATCGTCTGGTTCAATAGGGTCTAAATTATATAAATTATCACTAACAAATATGACAAACTTGAAAATCCAATCTCAGCACCCTTGCAGCATATCAACGCTTTGTGGAATATTTTAATGTAACAAAAATATATCAAAATCTAAAGGCACATTTCTTTTAATCGTGAAATGTATTATACCACCAGAAAGATCTTTTACATCTAACAACGTAATTTTAGTATGCTGCTTATTTCTGTAGAATCTTTTCAGAATTCAAAAGCTAGCGAAATAATTTTTAGATAGAACAGCCCTTATGGAGAAACATAAAGGAATGAAGTTGAAAAAATCTCCACAAGCTAATTTACTTCTTATAAGATATGAAACAATGAATAAAGACTGTATTCAATGGGAAATAGTTGATGGCTTTCATGAATAAAGATTCCATTTACAAAAGTACAGCAGCACTGTCAGATTTGAAGATTCCCTGAAGAGAAAAAATTCAAGAAATTTTAAAAATGCTCCTCCCCCATCTCTATCTGTATTGTATATTTTAATTTACAGCTGTAGTTTATATTATTGCATGACCAAATAACTGGCTATTATATTTATATTTCATTAAATCGATTCTAAAATTTGAACTCACACTGTGATATCTTTTGGCTTAGTTTAGAAATATCTTATTCAGTAATAAGACAAAATCTTACAATAGAAGTCTAAAAAATGCTGGTATTCTTATATGAGTGCATCCTACAAACTGTCTGATTATTGGAGTAAGAATCAACAGTGACATCTTTCAATGAAAGTAACATCTTGTTTGAATTAAGAAGAAGTATCGGCTTTATTTTTGTAGGCAAAACACAGAACAACAAACACAATGCAACCTTGAATGAGGGAAGCACCTAGCTAAACACCTTATCAAGTGGCCTTGTATGCTTCAGAAAACATTTCCTAAGTAAATCTACATTGATAAGAAAGCCCTGCATTCATTATGAGCAGTGTTGCCTCGCAATTACCTTGGGGGAAGTCTCAACTCTGGCCTAGATTTTTCCTTTGTTGTTTTTCAAACTAACTTGGATAGGTAGAACTCTCCTTACTTTTTGTACCATTGAGATGCATGTTAAATTGATTAAGTTCAAATTAGAATTTCACAAATCGCAGCCCATCGATTTTCAAAGAATTTCAGACAAATACAGCAAAACATCTCACCTTCATGTCAAAAGAATTACAACGAAAATATCCCACGAAAAGCATAATATGCCTGCAAATGAGAGTATTCTATCCAAAGATGGTGCTGTTGTTTACCATAGAAGTCCCCAAACAGGTTTCTAATAGAACTACTTCCCTCATACCACGAAATAAACAAACGGAGTAAGGATAGTACACTCATAGACTGTTTCTTTTCCCTATATGAACTTTTATTCTCATGTGTAATAGAGTTATAAATATGGGAAATAGGAAAAGGGTGGTGGTCATGCCTGAATGATAAAAACATGTAATCCTTAAGATATTCATAAAAAACAACCATTCACCACAAATGTTTTTAAAAATATACTTGGACCAAGAAAAATATTAAATATGAATCTTCAAATGACAAGACGTGATTTTAAGAAAACTGAACTCATGTATAGAAATGACAAGTTAGGATTTACTATCAAACTGAGTAAATCTAGACAAACACTGCCGAACAACACTCAGAACCTTTTCCTTGTTTGCAGTTTTTTAATTACCTACACTCCCTTATGCTAAAAAATGTCCAATTTTGTGTGGAAACGTTAAATTTTTGTGCATAAAGAATGATAGAAAATTTGAAAGCAGAGGGGGTTTTATTCACCATCTGATCCAATGTTTAGATTTTCTAAGTGGCATATCCAACTGGACCAAGCAAGTTGAATGTTGATATCTGTGGTTAAAGCTCAAACCTTGCAACAACAAAATGCACCCAGTATTCAAAGCCACAATTCAGGCAAAAACTAAACATTCCATGTCATGTAAGCTCTATCCATAAAGAATGGATATGAAATTAATTAGCTAAAATCATGATACTTTATCATAAATCAAGATTTTAATGGTGAATACAACTCTTTTTCCTCTGTGGAGGTAAGATACACCATGGTGCTATTTTTATAGCAGTACATAAACATTGGCCAACTGCAACATGTTGAAATGTTAGATTCTCACTTGCCAAATAGTCTGTATCAATAAACAATCGCCATACCTATATGTTATATTGCTAGGCAACAAGACATCCAATCATATCAAGGACACAATAGTCTGACTAAAGACCAAGTGGGAATTTAGATTCATATGAAGGATCTAGGGAGGCTAGTTCAGTAGAGTAGAATCAGTCAATCTGAATGCCATTGAGACAGCCAAAAGTGTTTGGATTGTCACATTTTGAGGTCTTTTAAACTTGGAAGTCTAACACAAAATAAGATGAAAAAATGTTCAGGTTGAGAGGTGTTCATTTACTGTACTGTACTTTTAATATATGGATGGATATCAGAAATATTAATGTTTGTGTTTATACATGTACTTTAATTCAATGTATTATCTAACTAATCTAAGATTACCTCTTGTCTTTGGTGCTTCTACTATAGAATGAACAACTCTGACATCATAAAAGGACAGGAATAATTCTACTGAAAGACAAAAGGTAGAAACAAAAAATTAGCAATTGGTAACAAATATTCAAATGCTTTATATATACCCTGAGCTCAGAGTTAAGTTCAAACCTCTGAATAGGTCAATGTAGCAGAATGGCTAAATCTTTGCCAGTGACAATCATACAGAACCCTGTGTCATAAAATTCAAACCAATCATGCAACCAATCAGAAACATAAAAAACAATAATGTTTAAATATTGATCATTGCTGGGTCAATGATGACATCGGAGAGGAAATGGCCATACACAGAAAACTCTCCATCTGGCGATGACAAGCTCTGGTTGGTTCGGCAATTCCGGAGGTTTCTCTTAAACTTAGAGTGGGGATGAAGCTTTTGAGAGGCTAAGACAAAAAATGTGAGGGGTCACTGGGTTCCCTCAGGAAATATTGAATATTGATATCATCCTTGTGATATTCCCCATATCAAATCCCTCATGGTGAATAACTTCTTTTTATTACCTCTTCCAACAGTTTGATTTTCCTTATTTAAAAGAAAGCTTCATTATCATTTAGTACTAGCTCGTTACCTCAGGGTAGTTCCATTTATAAAGCATGGTTAAAATTCACTATTCTGAGTCATAAGATTTCAAAAGAACATCTGATTCAACATAAATAAAAACTAATTCTCAGTTAAATTCAAATCTGGGTACATAACCTGGTTGCTGGTGACAAAATGCCTATGAAGCAAACACACATATATTTATGTCTAATATAGTCAGGACACACTGATGTCTTAGGCAGACTTTTAACACATTAGTATAAAAATAGAAAAAAATAGATAGAAAAGATGTGCCATGGCATAATGATGATTCTATATTTTACATTTTGACCCCCACACGTGTCATGTTTCGAGCCGTAAGGTAACAAGTCAGTGCCAGTCGGTGATGTCACAGGCTAGGAGAACACCCTTGTTAAACGGATTCTCATTTTGAAATATACCCTAAATATCAAGCACTAAAATTCAGACAAATTGCTACGTAATTATTAAAGCATGTTTCAATACATGTATATCCTCATGTTATTGGTTCATGTACTACACATATATTTTTTTGCTTTCTAGAGAAAATTAGTTTTGATGTTTTGGTTAGTAACCACAAGATTTGGCCCTATTTAATGCTATGGATTTCAACTTTTGTATAAACAGGGATATTGATATGATTTCTCTTTTGAGATTTAGTCTCTTAGTTATACACCTGGATTCTTAGGATTTGTTCTACACTATTCGCAATCTCAAGAACCTCTAACCTCTCATATTTTCTATGTAAACAATCCTGAATATTGGCTACATCACTGATTCAAAAATATATTTGCGTGAAACATATCATACAGAATGCATTGTCCAATGAGTGTTGCTTATACTATAACATCGCTAAACTTGAAGGGAGAATGGCTAAATGAAACAAATACTCAAATTCAAGAACATCCTCTATAAAAATCTTCGACGCATATTCAATACAAACTTCAAATTCTAAACCTACTTCTGTGCTACTTAAATTATTTGCATCTTGTCGGATATAGAAAATTGAACATTTTTCATTACAATTATGAGCAAATACTTGAAATTTTTGATTATAATCTATCAATGAGACAGGTGTTATAATAGTATCAATAGCTATAATAACTACCAGCTTATAGGTATATATGCTAATATCACTTACAGGGATATTAAGTTGACAGATTATAACAATGGCATTTATAAAATAATTGGCCAAAGTCTTCAGGACCATTTCTAAAATCTAAATTTACATTGGAAAAAATTATATCTACGATATTCCTAAAAGTGATACAAGCAGCATAACCCCACGATGACAACAAAATTATATCATTATAAAAATGATAACATTATTTCATGTATATATCCTATATGTCTTTTCCTGTTCTTGAGATATTAAATGAAGAAAAGTTGTGGTCAAAAGGTGACTGCCACAATAAGGCACAACCCTGGTCATTGATATTTGATATTTCAAAATACATTCAGAACGAACCTGTAACAAAAACAGCTTTCTGTGGCTAGTACTTTAATACAAGGTTAATTCAAAGCTAATCTTATAAGACGAAGATATGATTGTTTAACTATAATGAATTTGTTTGTTTTTGGTTTATTGTAAATCTCTGATCACTCTAAGCAAGAGCGCTCTGTCAACAAAAGTCGAAGAGTTCACTGGCACGTGTTTACTTTTGCATGTACTTTATTCAAGAGACCTGATTACTGAAACTTTTGACAGTTATTTGTGGTAAAGATTTGGGTCTCTCTCTCTGTAGGATAAGAATTATGATTAGAATTGACCTCAGAGCATAATGCCTAGAGCATATAATGGGGAATAAAGCCCTATGGCTGGGTATGTTATCTTGTAGTATTTATTATGAAAAGAGGACAATATACTGGATTACCCAGCTCATTATATTTTTTGTTGTTTTAATCAAGTCGATAAAAGTAAATTATTTTACATAAGGCATAAGGTCAATATGTCAACATATTGCAAAATGACAATTAATTTGACTTGACCCCCTTGACTTAAATTCCATCCTGTAAGCAGCCTCAAAAGAAATCTCCACTATTGTTATCTAAACATTATACAGTACTGATGAAATCATATCATGATTAATACAAACTCTTCCATTTTCAGGATAATTAAATCAGGACTTTTTAGGACAACCTTCATATTGTCATTTATAGCAAAACTTTCAATTTTGCAGGAAATTTCCTATCAGCTACTCTACTCCTGGTAAATTTCAACGCTATAAAATCTCGCGATTTTTCAAAATTGCAATTTCGTGGTTAATTTTGAACTTTTTCCTCCAGCTCTGTAAACTTCATATTGATAATATTAATATACTTACATGCCTTTTTGGCTATCTGGCTATTTTAGCCCATTCAGAATCCGAAAAATGATTGTATTTCCCATGTTTAGGGCATTTATTTGAATTTTCTTGAATGGCTTTTTCAACTTCAATTTGTTGGATATCATTGTCGTCAACAGTTCTTGCCTTTGTTGGCCTAATATGCCAATTCAAAATGTTATACATTTTAAGCCTTTTTTGAATTATCACCCAACAACACTGGACAAAACGTTTTACACCGAACAAAACATAAAAAGTCCTGGGTCGACAAATCAACAGGGATTTAAAAGACAAATTTCGCGATGATAAATGTTCGCGATTTTACGACATTCGCAAACAAAGCATAATTAAATTGCACGGAGCTGGGAACGTAACCTGAGCAGATCAGTTGAATTATATAATTTAAAAAAATAAAATATATGATTTAAAGCATATATATTATTTACAAACACATATGTCAGCTTACTTGGTGTGATAGAATTATCGAACACTGTCTATTAACGACTGAAAAGCAATGTTCTGTAGTTTAACTAGAAAAAATCATTCACTTTCTTACTTGCTTAATGACCCACTCCTAGGTTTATCGAAACAAAGATGGATAACAACTGGTTTTGCATAAAACAATAAACGGGCACCCACTCAAACATCTTACGTTTATATGGAGGGGGAGGGGTTAGGTGAAGAATTTCAGAAAGCATATGTTGATTCGATTTGGTCGAGCACACGACAAGACGCTATATACAGTTCGTTGTATCCTTACTTTTTTAATAATCTAGCATTTAAATGCTTTTATTTCCCCTGAAAAAGAGAAGTTGTCTTAGAAGTATAATACATGTATGTATAAACAGTATATATATACGAAATTAGTATAACAGAGTGGGTTCTAATAGTTCGCTGAACAAATACAATGGGTGAAATCAAATGGAATTATTTGCTTACTACATTTAATCACTTCATTCTCCATACAATGATTGTTCTATGTTTGATAGCCTTTCTAAGGTAAGTGCACTTATGCATGGTTAATGCCAAATTTAATTTTTCACAATGGATAAATTTTTTCTTTAAATAAAATGTAATAAATACGCATTCGAACAATCCCGTATGTTTTTAAATTAGTATATGTGCTTTAAATCATATATTTTAATTTTTTTGATTAAATAATTCAACTGATCTGCTCTGGTTACGTTCCCAGCTCCGGTTACATTCCTTAGTAATATTTTTAAAACTTTTTTTTTAATTAAACAAATCAGAGTCAGGTGAATCAGAAATAACAGAATTATTCAAAAGTATAAGGACTATTCTGTACTTTTTTCAAAAGTCTATACTTAAATGTTGTGAAAAGTTATAATCGAAAAACCATCTTTCGGAGTAAAGTCCGTCTGCGCCGATTTCAATAACTTCGTACTTGATCAGAACTGGGTTCCAACAGAATTCCTACAAACTCATGAATGAAATAGTTATTGCATGGAATACTTACTTTTGTCAAAATCAAAATAGAACTCTAGTTAAAAAATATATTGTGCTAAATTATTGCCATTTCTTAGTAAAATGTCGTTCTCCGGTACGTTGCCAAAATTATTCGATGGTACCCCGTGAGTGTACTCTTATTAATTTGTTCTGTTCAGTATTTCAGTGCATTAGCGTTCGGTATTTCAGTGCACTTTTCGCAGACTTTTTCTCGATGTACATCGCGATGTGCATCCATGTTTACTACTGAAAATTGCCGATGCATCGATGTACGATTATGGCACATCGCGACAACACTACTATTCAGCCCAGCTATAGTGCCTAGCCCTTGCTGTCTCGAGCAGTAGAGCATCAGTCGAGAAACAGAAGAGTTTGATTCAGGGTTTGATTCATGCACATCATATTAAATTAAAAACACTCCCTTTCATGTCCAGTATCTGGCTAGTTACACTTCAGCTTCCTGGAGGCGCCTATGGGTCGTTACAATAACATTGAAGTACAATGTATATTAGAGTACATAGGGGTATTCTTGGACACAGAACGATGTCGATTCATCATTTTACTGATAGGGTGACATATCAAAGGGTCAAACAATGCTTCATCTGATTGCAAGGGTTTGTCTGGGTATGCCCTGTGGCTTTGAGAATGCCCCTATGTACTCTATATAGCAGAGGAACACATCAGTGTTCAACATCAAGAAACTATTTATTTGTGATAAAGCAATTCATGTTTGCACATAAACTAGTTGGAAAGATTGAGTTGAAATAGAGAGAGTATTGATATAGGAGGGGATTAGTATTCTGCCTTTCATTTTCAAGAAAGAATTTGGAAAAATCAGTTTTCAGAATGACCTGGAATGCTTCTTAACTTTGGTGAAGTAAACTATATGAATTGATAAATATTCATAATCTCATCCAGGTACTAATGCTTCAAATTACAATACCACACTGTTGTATGGTAGCCACAATTGATAGAAGGAACAACATTTTAGAAAAGTTCTAAACTTTTCTAAAAGTTAGGCGGCCATCTTTGTTTTGATTGAACTCACACATTTTGACATTGTCAATAATTTCATCAATTTGGAGCGTGTTCACTTCGTTCTAAGCATTTAAACTTACCTACAGAGCTGATGTTGTAATTCAAGTATGTTTATCCTTTATTTGAAATGATATGACTTAATAATTCACGTACAAATCGGCTTTTTGTTCTAGTTTATCTCCTTTGAATTCAACCGAATTTTACAATAGATGTCGCGTCGTAAATAACTGGGTTAATTCAGGTCAACTATTATTGAAAAAAGCGGGAAATTCAAATTTTCAAAACTTAAGAATGCTTTACAGAACTCGGAGCTTCAAGAGATATATAATCAAGTCGAATAAATATAATCGATTGATTCATTAAGCTTGACCATCACTCTCAAAATGATTATTATGACACATTTGACTGTTAGATGGGGATCGCCATCTTTCCCTCCAGATGTGAACCGGAAGTGTGGCGTATCGTCGACCATCTTGAAAAGCATCGACATAAAATGCCTATGTGTTGTGCTGCAAATTGCTCCAATATTACAACGGATAGGCCTAAGTTAGGGATAAGTTTCCACCTAGTCCCAGATCTGAAGCGGGCGAAAGGAAAGAGACACGTTGTAAGCGCCTGGTTGACAAATATAGGGCGTTTTGGGCCAGGATGGACAGTGGACACCTTCAAAAATCAAAAGCCCAGAGAGGTTGTTGTCTGTTCCCAACACTTCAATCCAGATGACTTTGAGCGGGATTTCCGCAGTGAACTGATGCCGGGGTATACCCAAAAGAAAAGGAAACTAAAAGAGGATGCCATACCCTCCATATTTTCCCACAAGAAAACAAATGAAAGGCCAGCATTATATTTGCAAAAAAGGGAACAGAACCAGGTGTGTGACAAATTATAGAACCACTCATTCTCATTGGCATAAGCTGCGGCCTGGGTTTATTTGTTTGTTTGTTTATATCCAATGCTTTGCGGTGCTTTAATGCCACCTTATATAGTCTCTGGTGCTACTTTTCACTTTGTAGTATCACTGATGTGGTTTACCGCTGTCCAAATCCGCCTTTGCTAAAATATAACGGAGTGGCTCCAGGGCCGACAATTGTCGGTACTGGAGACTGTCCAGGGGTATTTGCTAGGGTACCGACAATTGTCGGCACTCTATCGTCACCTAGTAGTGCCAGATAGAGAACCGACAATTGTCGGTACGCAAGTGGCTACTACGTGTTTTTGCTAGAGAGCCGACAATTTCATAAATAAATCGACTACTTTTACTTTTAGAAATAACCTCATCACTGGTAGCCTCGTGGTTAGCAAGCACGACTCGAACACACTCGGTCCCGAGTTCGAATCCCGGCAGGACCTGCTTTTTTCTTTTGAGGGGGGGACATAGTGCTTTTTTTGCAGTATGGAATCGCACAGGCATTAACTTGTATTGAGCCATAATTTATTTCGACAAAAATTGATTCAACTTCCATCAAAATTGTCCTACAAGCTTCAATTAAAAAACATTTTAAAGCTCTTTTATTGTTCTATCTAATGGGTCGATATATACAGTTAGGGGAGGGGATGCTTTCGCCCCCGTCGCTCTCTACCCTTACTACGCCATGGCACAGGAGAAATATCTCATTTGGAATATATCACTGTTTACTTTGCGTTTGGTAGCTCTCTCATGCGAGATGGAATCGTGGCCATTAACTAAGGGAGCCAAATGCAACTTCCATCAAAAATTGTGCTATAAGGTATGAGTACCGTAATCCAACACCAAATTCGAAAATTCATAACAATACTTTGCACATATGGCGTTCGTGACCAACTATGAAACGCTTACCCCCCATAGTGTTATATATCAAAATGCACCTGTCCATATAGGGGTTCGATTGACCTACATCAAATTATAGGGAGTCAGGTTACTTTTTGAGATATCAGCGTCCGTTTATTGTAACTCGCGTTTGCTACCACTTCCTCAATTCTGATATGACGGGTAAACGCGTAGTAAACATGCTCACGTTCGGAACTATTTTGACCTACATCGCTATTTTCGTAATTCAAATGAAAGTTGAACTCCTCCTTATTTTGATACCAAATAGTGGCATACTAGGTACCCTAGAAGCCAACTATGGGTTATTTAGAACGATACCACTGGTTTTTAAATGGACTATATAGGGGTCATACCTTTTGGCGGATGGATATGGAACCTCATACCATAAGCTTCAAATAAAAAACATTCTAGCTATTTTCTTCTATCTAATGGGTAGCAAACGCCCGTTTCTACGCCTGATCGGCTCAGGAGTAATATCCTATCTGTTTAGAATATGTATAGTCGTTTACCCTGCATTAATAGCTTTCTAACGTCTTACTTGTTCATGTTTTTTATATTGGGTTTTCAACGTTTACTACCATTCCCTGTTCCCGGGCTACCATTTTTTGACTGGGTTTGGTAATGCCCTCCCCGGGTTTTGCACTTGTTCCCAAAATATCCGTATGATATCTGAAATATCCCCCCGCGCATTGCGCATGCGCCAGAAAATTCGAAAATCAATATTTGTCGGTCCTCTAGCGTGTAAACACAGCATATCTCCCGTACCGACAATTTATTTGTCGGTCCTCTAGCGTGCCACCACCTCAGAGTCTAGAGTACTGACAATTGTCGGTACTCTAGCCTTTACGAAAATATAAAGGTTCATAATTAGCAATTAGAGTCATTCGTGTTATTTCCGTGAGTTTTCAAAACTGGGCTTTAATTGCTTTTATTGAAGGGTCCCTCGTTATCATGCGGTCCTAACTTCGACCGTTAATTTGAATTTTTGACCTACCGGATGTTTGAAAATCAAGGATTACGAGTTTCATACTGCACCGTTTTTCTTCAAACTTGTTCCATTCAAAGCATAACAAAAATCCCTTTCTGATGGTACATTATTCTCTTAAACAGAGTCCCTACTTCCAGCAGCATTTTGGTCCCCAGCTGTAAGAAGGCCTTCTAATAGCTGGCGACCAAAATGCTGCTAGAACGAGGGACTCTTTACAATAAAGTAATGCACCAACAGAAAGGCAATTTTGTTTTGCTTTTAATGGTATAAGTTTGAAGGAAAATGTTTATTGATGAAAACATGTCATGTTATATATCCCTGGATATTGACTTTACTTTTCTTTAATTTGGTATATCATAAGTTCAAATTTATTATAATACATGTCAACCGGCATCCATAATTCAAATGATGTCATTATCGTTTCAAAACAGGTTTTCAAAAACTTGCAAAAAACAAGTTTTTTTGTCAACAGAAACAGCATCATTGATATGCTATTGAGACAATCAATTCCACTTCTAAACAATAATGTCCTTTAGGGACTGAATAGATGTAAGGAGTTCATGATACACAAATTTTGTTGGTTCTCCCCATACGTGGTAGTCACATCAGGTGATCTGTGGGGGGGGGGGCAGTGATTAGGGGGTATGAATTGAGGCACATTCTCCTTTAAATATTTTACTGTCTTGTGTAATGATCAGAATATGAGATCAGGAATAAGGTAGCGATCTGAGGCATTTCGATCAGGGTGTTGTCGGGACAATTTTTCTTGTAACTTAGGTCATGTATTTAGGTCTGTCTCAAGAGAATATACTGGCCTTACATGCCAAAAATGGTGCGAAAGATGTCAAAATTGCATATTGATTCATCCCCCGTAATAACTGCCCATCCAACCAGATCAGTCGATGCTAACATCTGCGACTACCACGTATGAGGAGAACTAACAGAGTTGGTGTACCATGAACCCCTTACATCTATTCAGAATTGTTGGGAAGTGGAGTTTATTACTTCAAAACCATATCAATGATAATATCAACACGTTTATGCCAAGATTGAGGGCTATAATTTATCAGAATGGTGGGCATATCAAACTTATTGCTAACTTCTGTTTATGTTGACAAAAAATTTGGATTTTACAAGTTTTTGAAAAACTGTTTTGAAACGAAAATGACGTCATTTGTATTATGGACGCTGGCTGACAGGCATTATAATAAATTTGAATTTATGATATACCAAATTAAAGATAAGTAAATTCTCTATCCAATGGTATTATAATATGATATGTTTTTCATCAATAATATCAATATTTATTTTTGAAATATGTGTGTCCCATTTTTTTTTGGACCACCCTGTACATGTATATGTTGTTTTGGCAAAATGGGAACCTGTTCTAAATTAATATTTTGTACTGGTTCCAGCAGAAAACTGATTCAAGATTACAATCCAATGGTCAAACAGAGGTGCAAGCTCCAACTTTCAGCCATATCTTGCTGGGCAAGTTGGATGAATCAGAAGTAAGTTAAAATAACATCACTTTGAAATAGCAATAATGACAATATAATGTTTGTATAGCCTATTGTACGAATCATTTTTTTTTGTCATAATCGCTACTGTACTGTGAGGTGTATCGACTAAATTACATTGGTATGTATGGCTCACAATTTCATATCTGTAATTTCAAATAACTTGTCAAATAATGGTAGATGTAAAATTATAAACTAGTTTGATACTAGTTCATGTAATTCACCTTTGTTGACATTTTTCAATGTGGGCAGAGTTAAACTCAAGTCATACTTTGATGATAATATCATTATGGTTTGTTTATAGGCCTGTATTAATGCTAAAGAAAATGAACAACACTTCAATACACCTGATCCTTGTAAAGATTGTATCTTGAGAACACAAAAGGTTTGTACCAATTCACACACCATTTTGAAAATTTAATCAGAAATATGAAATAGGGATTGCTCATATTGGATGATATGGGAATACAATTTCAATAACTGTTCTCATTTTGGAAGGTGCATCTTTGAGAAAATTCAAAATAGAGACTGTTCATCTTGACCTCAATATAAAACTTGAAATTTGAAAAAATACTTAAACCTGAGATTAGTCTATATGTATATTTATAGGTTTTGTTGTTAATTCCTTGCAATATATAACATCCAGTACTGTTATGAAAGGTTTCACTGAATTGTTATGATTCTACACTCATTTCCATTTCATGAACCTCTATAGGTCTATCATACACACAGTCAGCATAGAAATAGAACTTTTTTACACTTTTTCTTTTTCTGACTCAAACTGGGAAAACATTGTACATGTTTTGATTATGAAAGTATGATATTCAATGTTTAATGAAATATTTAATATTATTTATGTTTATTTCAGGTGTTCTGTGAGGCAGCAACCCAGAGAAAACCTCCAAATTGCCAAACTCTGAAAGCAGCCCTGGCAAGGACATCCGCTCCTCATATCCACCCTCTTACAAATATTTTGTCACCTGTTTCATCCCCAATGAAAGTTGTATCTGACCATGATGACTCATTACTATTGACAACAAGTGTTTCAACAAGATATGAACAGAACAACAACTATATTCCTTCGTCGGAATCTAATTCTGATTTTGAAGATGAGGAAAATCACCTGAGACCAGGAGAAATATACACCAGTGAACAGAAGTACAACTGCTTTGAATCTTGTTTAGATAAAGTATTCTACCAGATTAAATGTCATCAATGCAATGCCCAAGTTACCAACATTGAGAGACATGTTGTAGGGACTTTGTATAAAGTCAAACTCCAGTGTATATCTGAACATAATGTTTGCACTTGGTCCTCACGGGAACCATACCTGGGGAAACAACCTGCTGGGAACTTATGTATAGCTACTGCCACACTGCTAACTGCTAAGATCATGAGAGAGGAATATAAACAGAAATATATTGATCACAACCATGTTGTTTCCAACATCAAGAAGAAGTTGGTAGAAAAGGGGAAATGTGCAACTAACAGGGACATATTTGTTTGGATAAAACCAATAACAAACCATTTTTGGTATTGTGCAAAAACTTGTGGAGGAGATGAACTCAGGTTGAAAGAAAAATGGCTGAGTATTCTCAAACACATTCTCAATCAACATGATTTTCCTCAAAATATGGTTTTTAAAGAATGTGACCACCCTGAACTCACTCAAGATCAAGTGAGAAGGAAGAAGTGGCTTACTGAGGACTCTTCCCCTTACAAGGCCATCAAAGATGTCATCACAGACAGCAGACTCCTTGCTGATCTAGCTAATCTCATCAAGCACTACCACACTGGCTGCCTAGAAGTATACCATTCCATGTTGAACAAACACCTACCAAGCACTTTGAATATGACCTCAGACAAATGATCAAAGTGATGATGCATGAATCTCTCAATTTTGCAGAGCTAAGTTTTATATCTGTGGCACAATATTTTAATATTTAATTCAGAGTCACGCAAGTGCAAAATTAATCAAATGAAGTCTCTGTGTCCAGATTGAGTGTGGAGATTTGCTGTAAAGTTACAAGTTGTAGAACTACTGTAGATATTTTTCTCTACTACTAAGCTAGTGTTAAGTATCGCTTGTTCTTTTGTAAATTATTGTATTTGAATATGGAAATACAGTCGATAAATGAATGTTATCAATATTTGTTTCTGTCTCTAACAATGTTTTCATGTTATTTGTCAAGGTAATTTGATTATTGAATATTGGCTAGAGGTTATATCCTGATTTTTGTTCGGGTTCAGTAGGGACATAGTGAAGCCCTTCGTCTGTCTGGTAAATAATATGAAAACTAGAGGACTGATCTTTTCATATTGGGTGGAAATATGGATAGGCTAATGGTAAAAAAATTCGGAAATATTCTTTTCAAGATGGCCACTGGTTTGAAAATTGCAGGAGTTTGTTTGCCAAAATCTTAGGTTTTCATTTCTAACCAAGAAATGAGTATAATTCTTGGAAAATTTGGTAGTTTATCCATCAAATGTTTTTGACTGAATATTCTAGTTTTTTACATGACCCCCATGCAGGAACTGTGAAGGGGCATGAAAAAATAATATTCAAAAATTTTGAGATCTTTCTGAAGTATAGCTTTATTTTACAAAGATGAAAGGGAAATTAGAGTAGAAATCGCAAGTATTGTATCATTTTCTAACTTGGGCCTTGAAAAATTCAAAATGGTTGCCTAATTTGGGATTTCGCAATAATTCTCTCCAAATTCTGGTTACATTATACTCAAATTGAAGGAATTTTGGAGAAGCTCACAATGTAATTGAATTTTCTGTATAGTTTGTTAACTTGTATGGTGGAGACACTGGAACCAACTTCTGTATTGGTCTAGTATCTGGGCCCGTTGGTCTTGTCTTTCATCAGCATGCTTGTTTTGTTTATTCATATAGGGATGTATACTTTTTTCATATGTTTCTATGCTTCAGACCATCTATCAGTCAACACTGACAAAAACACAACAAAGAGGTTGCTTTTCTTCATTTATTTATTTCAAAAATATATTAAATATGAGTATACAACACTGTCATATTAAAATAATGTGATCTATAACATGCGTGTAAGTTGTAAATGTTAAAAACAAACTAAAAACAATCAATTATACAAACAAATAATTAAAACACATTACCAAAAATGGATTTTATACATGATGAAATTCTTGATCAATATATTTACTTTCAGTTCATGGGGCATCTAATGAGTTGGCATTTTTATTTGAAAATCCTGAACATCATATTACAAATCCAAAATCTGGATATTTTTTATTTTGATCTAAGCTGTCAATCAGTGTGGAATTCTTCAAAGTATGTTTTAAGGATACTGCAAGCCAAATTTGACCAGCATTAATGACCACCTAAATCATTTGATTGTATTTTATTACAATGCTGTTACTGCATTGGCTGGGACATAATAACAAGTTATAACATAACAATTCATTGTGTTACAGGTCTTCTGTGTTACTACAACTAAATATATGAAATCTAAATACTATTGTGCAATAATATATAAAAATATATTCACAGGAATGATATTTGTATATCTTGGATTGCTTGTAAATTGACTTATAGTCTGTAACCTCTTATATTTTGATGCTTACCTGTCATGTTAACTCTGAAAAAACTACATGGTGGTAGATCGCTGGATAGACCTCAAATTACAAGGCTTATTGCACTAAACACTAAATAATCTAAAATATACAAATGTCATCTGTGTGCAATATGAATATACGTTCTACATATAATGGCACAATACTCTATACATTTCTTATTTTTCAGGTTCAACTGCTTGCCTTTGAAGCAGTTAAACAGACTGTATAAATAATTGATTCAAATTAATGTCTTCCTGGATGAATTACGTCTGTTACCACAAGCATGTTTCTTCATACTTGCCTCTTAATTAATGATGTGCTAAGGTAACTTTTTGTGGCAAAATTCAAATGGTCCAATCACAATTTCAGTCTACTATATCAAGATATCTACCTAAATCCAAATTCTAATATGTTCAATTTCATCGTATGAGATTTGTGAAAAATATGTCAAGGGGGGTTCACCTTTTAAAAATTCCAGGGGGTTCACATTCGATAACTTTGGCCCAAAAGTAGCCAAAATCACTTGAAAAGTGCCTAAATGGTGAGAGACTGCATGGTTTTGAAAGAATTATTGGCCAGTGGGGGGTTCAAACCCTGAGAACTCCCCCTGGGTATGGCCCTGATATGTAATGGTCAACTTCCCTCACCGTAAGCATATGTTTAAACAAGAGCATGCACTTTAAAGTGGCAAATAGTTTTCAGTTTCTTAGAATTAATACACATAACGAGCAAATCCTCTTCATTTGGTGTGAACATCATCTTCACTGCATATCCATTGTAACTGAATGTACAACAGTTAGTGCCATCTTTAGGAGACCACAATTTTATAGCGCCATCTATCGAAGCTGTAGCTATAAACTTATTTGTCTTGGATATTGTTACAGTAGTTATCTGAAAAACAAGTTATTTTTAACATAAATTAAATATATAATAGTGTAAATGTTAACATGATAATTAATGTGTTTGTCATAGAATATTTACTGAACCATCTCCTAGTTTTATATTCAAGAAATGGAAAAAAGGGGAGTGAGAGTAGACAGATTCATATTTTAATATTTTGTAAATGAGAGTTTGCATGCTGCTATCATATGATACAATCATTTTTGAACCTCTTCAACAGGCCCGGCCTCATATATTTTTTTCATTCTTTTATTTCTTTTAAAATACACTTTTTACTTCAAATAACATGTTTTTCGAAGAAACATATCCCAGGCCAGTAGCCAAGTTTTGCCAAGGGAGGATCAGTTTTTGAAAAATTTGAAAGTGCTAAAAATGGTGAAAAACTGCATAATTTTACGCATATTACCTTACTGGTGTGTGAGATCATTGACTTGTCATTGTCTAAGAGATGTCCAGTTTTCAAATTATACACCGCAACATGGCCTTCATTAGACCCTATAGCAACTATATCCCTTCCAGGCGACCGCACCATTATATTTTGCGTCCATGCTTCACATTTTTTCTGAATTTCACGAGGCTGTCGAAACATCCCAACACTTACTGACTTTGCTTTTTCTTCTCTAATCACAATCTGATCAACAGTGGTTTTTACAATATTCCATACTAGCGTGTATTTATCAAACCCGAGCATGATTTCTCCACCCCTGAGGGGTTCCATGACTGAACCCAGCATGAAGATGTTCGTCATGTTCCTATAACAAGGTGTTATCTCAAGTTTGGGGCTCGCTAAGTTAAGGGCATGCATGATCATTGTGCCACTGGTAACATGCATGCTCTTCATATTAGCCTGTTTGTGTATTGCTTTCAGTTCATCATTGCCATGTATGTATCTCACAAACACAAGGTAACGCTCATCATCTGTTAGCATTGCTTTGAATGGGAACTTTGATTCATACAACGCAGCAGTTTGTTGTTTTGTAATGTTGAATAACTTTGAGGTAGTGTTATCTTTAAAGTTGATAATATGGATGTTCATACAAGAATCGTCGTTGAGGCTGACAATGTATGTTTTGTCATGTCTCCCAGGAGCACATGCTATGATATTGTGAGGTAGCTCTAAATCTGAGGAAAAATCATCAATTTTGAAACACACGCTGTCCGTCTCGCCGCATCCTATAAGATAGGTGTCAGTGTTGACTGAGTAGAGTGAATCGATTTTATATTTCTCTGACGTTTCCTTGATAAGCTCTCCAGATGTCACATCCCATAATTTTACAGATTGACTCTCCCCAGCAGTGATCACATGACCATTGTCTAACATGATTACACAGGATGATGCATTCTCACTAACAAGCATCAACTTTTCATCCTTCTCACCAGAAGTGTTTTCCCTAAGACAGGGATGCGTAGGGACCAAGTACATGTTTGGACTGGTCATGCAATGTGACTTTGACTGTGCCAGTAATGATGACACATCTTCACCATCGGCATGATCCAGCCTGGCTAACAACTGTATTGGTAACTGACTAGTTGATTTCAAAAGTCCCTGACTGTTCTTTAAACAATCTAACACAACCTTTATCTCTTTATCCTCCTCAACCTGAAAAGCATCTTCAAAGTCTTGAATGATGGATTTCAATGAAAATGCTAGCATTTTGGTCATGAGAAATCTCAAATCAAATAGGGCACATTGTTTCAATGTTTTGATATCTCCAGCTTGTAGAAGATGGTACACTAGTGCCCTGAGTTTACGCTTGTTTCCTACTTTGGTTGGCTGATTAGTGATTTGCCTATCAGCATTTTCGATGGTGAGATTTCGTTTGGTGAGAGTAATGGTTTGTTGAAGACCATTGTCATTCATGTAGATCTTGCTCATATCTTTATGTAGGACTTGCAGAGATTCACCTGGAATGCATCACAATTCATGTTATTCTGGTAGGCTATGGTGAAGAACAGGTGTGGAAGGAACATTTGGAGAGGGGCTTTGAGGACCTATGTTTCCACTTATTAAAGCTACTGTTCCAAATCACCTATTAAATCTGATATGTAGTTATGCATTTATCTTCACAAAAATTTTACAGAAAGATATAGTCTGTATTTGTCGACATTCCAATATGTCCCACAGAAGTAGAATGATGCTCTTTGGCTTGAGTTTTGCCCACTTTGTGAATTTACCTCACCAATATATGAGCATTTGACAGTCACAACGTAGATTGTGATTACTGAACACTTACCTTGAGTGTATCTCTCTCTGGCAACCTCAATGAACTGCCTATGGTACCAGAATACTGTTGTTTTACCTAAAATATGTGAGGATCACCATATTATCATGATACTACATGTACATGTAAGTTGGGTACAGTGAGATTCTGACTCCAAAATGATGCCAAATGATTCTGCCCAATTCAAAATGAGATCAAAATCTACGCTGTTTCAATACACAAAGAATTTTGCCAAAAATTAACACTACTGAGTTACAAATCTCACCATAAGACTGCCTCTCAATGAGATATTCCTTCAAGTCATGATGAATGCGTGTCCACAACAATGGCGGAATGCGAACAATGCCCTCTATAGGTGGGTTATGGTACTGATAAACATCATTAAGGACAATATCACAGCAAGATAAAGCGTCATCGATCTCAATCTCCGACACGCCATCTAGACCAATTGTGATGTAACCAAGGGCTCGACTGACCAGAAGTGAGCCAAACTTTTCCTCTAGTTTTGTGAACAACCTGTAAAAATTTTAATGTGAAGATCCATTGTAGACTAGTGGTGCAGTTTATAATCATAGAGTCCCATAATTGAAGCAATGAGTGCCTTGATTCCAGATTATAAAAAATACTAAAGTATTTCACAACTCCCTCAAGTTAATATGTGTATTGCCCGCCAATGTTCAGGAATTCTGACTCTCTTTTTTGCCAGTAGAGTGGTCGGACAATAACGCAAATGCGAGTAGGTAGTTACCGGATTCACCACCAGGTGGCTCGTTCGGGTCAGGTAGCATGGCGGGTATAGGAGAAAGTTACCTTTTATTTAAATTACATCTATTTGTGTGGTTCAATTTTCATATAACCCTTATGAATCTAATAGTTATGCAAATTAAAATATGCCCAGTAAAAGAAAATGTTATCTGTAAAATACAAGAAAAGAGAATTTACTTTTTGTGATTTTGTAACATGGGGTCTATTATGGGGAATCAACCCGAACAAGAAGTCATATTTTCAAAAAAATTAAATTTCCAAAGTTGATAGACAATTTTCGAAACCATATTTCTAGATGTACTTTTACATGCAGATTTCAAATATGACATCACTTTGACTGAATTTTGAATATTTAATGACATAAATCAAGATTACTTCTACTCGCATCTAGTCTATTGTAAGATGGCAGACAGTAACCTTTTTCAAAAGTACACTAAATTAGATTGATGGCCTCATCAAGAAGGGCAGGGGGAATGAGTTCAATAGATTTTCAATGGGATGTATTGTCATTATCCTACAACCAATTCATCCTACAAATATCATCCAAAGACAAATAGGGGTTGCACTCCACTTCATTAAATATTTCCTTAACCTCTTGACTACCTGGAATGACGAGCTTCCTCATCACCTCAGAAACAAACTTGAAACCCAGAGTGACGAGAAAATCAGTCACAAAATTTTCCCCTTAAAATTTCTCCACAAAACTTGTTTCTGATTTAAACTGATTTGAGAGCCTGTTATTCAAGAGGTTAAGGTAACTCATATATATGAACCGCAATAAATGTGCATGCACATACATACACACACTCTAATGACATACTTATCTATAGCAGCCTTGGCAGTCTCCACAACTGGTATCGTGTCGATATCAGTATATGAGTGCCATAGAGCTGCCTCGTCCAATAGGAGCTTCAGGAATAAGGGGCTCGGCTGTTTGTCAAACATGCTGAATAATAACTCCTTCTGCTCCTCTGTTATTGTTCTCTTCTTCTTTTTGAAGTATTTGGTCATAATTTCCTGACCTATGATAAAGCAAAATATTTGAAGATCAATTGTGTATTAAGAGCACTACAGACTTTTTATGTCGCCACCGTACCAGAAGTTGTGACATATTATCATTGTCCCAACTATTTTGTGGATGCTAGTTGGTGTTCAGCGTCTGTAACATGGCATCTGTAACAAATGGCAGGTAGTGACATTTTGGAGGTTCATGCCCTGTTCAGTATATTTGATAGGCCTATAGACTGTTTTCTAGATAGCCCGAGAAAAAAATTGCATATGCCTCTTTATGTAAAACATGTACACAATGAATCTTCTGTTTCCTTCAATCATACAGGGCGTGCCAAAAAAACAATTTTGAACTGGCAGGAATATAATGTGGATAATATTATCATTAATCATAACAAATAACTGACCTGTGGTCAAGGGGAGGGGTTTGAGCTCTAGTAGTGATGCATCTCCCTTTAATCTGGCCTTAAGAGTATCCAGGATGCCATGTTCCCTTGGCAAAGTTGACACTATCAAATGAACATTACCTGCAAATGAAAACACAACTTCTGAATAACATTTACATGTAGGTTAAATAGTTCTGTAGAATGTATGTAATTTGATAGAAAACTGTCCATTTCAACGTTTCAATATCTTTAGATCCCCACAGTACATTTTTATTCTATGATCAAGACAATACACAATCATTTACTAAACATAAATTAACCAATTAAATGGCCCAATTTGCCCCATAATGTTCTGTCATGGCCAACAGCACCTTGCCCAATTGTTTCTTTAAGGTGCTAAGGAGTAAAGTGTCTCTGAAAGGGCTCCATAGGGTCCCATAAAGAACAGTCACACAAGGTCCCATACAAATATAATACTTGTACTTACTTGGCAACTGAATGGGAAGCCATGTCATACTATGTGCTCCATCTATTGGTGAGAGTTGATCCAATGAATCCAACATAATGACGATCTGCTCCTTTGTCTTGTGTGATACATTACGCAAGAACCTCGGAAAATATCCTAGGAGTTTTGTTATGGTTTCATAACCAATTGGCTCCATTATGACATCATAGGTGTCAGCCAATTGGCTACAGACTCCAAAGATGACATCATACAAGTTTGTACTCTCAGGTGTTGTTCCGAGGAATTTTATGACCCGAGTGCATGGTTTCTTCAGCCAGTTTGGAATGTCTTTCATAATTTGTGCCATGACAGAGGTCTTCCCGACACCTGTAAGAAAATGATATAAAGGATCATTATGGCTCGATAGTGTACAGGGTGTCAAACGGCGTTGTGCCCCCCTTCCACAGCATAAACTTAGAAAGGTACCTACACATTATGTATGTCATTGGAAAGAGCATTCAATTCTGGATAAAATAAATCCTAGATGACCTAGGTCAGATATTGCTACATAGTGTCACATGCATTTGAAATGTACTAGTGTAGTGCTCTATTTCATTGATTTTTGAGAAGTGGCTGACTGTAATAGACAGGTTCCAATTTCAGAATATCTCAAGGGAAAGGGTTTTTGAGGCATTTTTTAGAAAAAGCAACAGACCTATTTTTTCTGGATCAGTTCTTCATGCTGATAAAGATATTAAAAGATGACAGCTCAACAGGGTGGTCACGACACTGAATTTTAGCGTTTCTACCCCCCTAGGAAATTATTTTAGGGGGTACTATAATATTAGTTCATAACTCAAAGGATATATAAACTATTGTTCTGAGTTCTACAGCATGCATTGTTAGTACAGAGATGAATACTATGCTAAAGTTATAGGTTGATATCTTTGTTGGTTCGGAAAAATACAATTAATTAGAAAAAATATGCAATTTTTGTCATTTTTTCTTGCTTATTTTATATTTGTAGCTTCAAGCAAAATATGATAACTTAAACAGCTCAAAGTAGTATTCTAACAACATTCTCAAGCTATGTGTGATATTGTAATACATCTATTATAGTGATGAAGTACTGTTTTGTAATTTTAATGACTTTATAGTGCCCTACCCCTGGTAAATAGAAGAAAGTTGGTGTGGTTTTCTTCTGGTTTTAACATTTTATTGACTTCTTAGTTGAAGATACAATCAATTCTGTCAGTTAACCATGAGTAGCTTTACAATGGTTAACTATTCCCATGAATAGAGGGTTGGGACCTCAAAAATACCAGAACTGTTAAGTGGCATCCTTGGGCAACCCTCTTCAGAGTATTTTCCTTATACTCCGATAAAATCTGCAGGGGATACTATAAGAAACCTATATATCTAAGATACTAATGAAGATACTGAATTCAAATGTTCAGGATTTGGTCCTGGTATGATAGGTAATCTGTATGACAAAATGACAAAAAGAAAAAACTCTGTTGCCATAGTAACAAGAATACCACACTCTTTGTTTCCTAAAAAATGTGTTTTAAGAGGTTTTGTAATTCTCTTTATATTTTTAATTCTAAATATGTCTACAATGTTGGATGATTAAAATTATGGTAAAGTAATATTTTCTATTGTTCTATTGTTCTCTAAAACAGAAGTTGCTATGGCGACACATAGATCATAGAAAAAATCCTGGGATGATCGCTCTATTTGTCAGGAAATTAAAATGGAAACTGAAAAATGAGTTTCTTCCTACTGAATAGCAATTTGGTAGACCATGGCTGACACGCACAAGAGAAAACGTTTATCAGTTCTATGTCATTTTGTTGTTATTTTTTTTATTTATCATGCTCTGGGACTTAGAACACCTGATGCCAAATCTTCTCCAACTGCAAAGGAAGGCAAGGATTTTAATAATGAACATTCATATATCTCAACAAATATGGCCTAAGATTTGGACAATGATGATGAAACTCTGAGGGAAAATTAGACGAAACATTAATGTGAATGGTCCAAAAATAACACTTACATGTTTTGAAAAAGTTATGCTCTCGGGTGAATCAGTGCTCATTTAAGAGTCTGAATCAGGTGAATTTTTTAACCTAATTGTACTCCTCCCCAAAACCCCCAAATTTTGACAATTGTCGAAAAGTGGCAAACAACAATTAAACAAACATCATTAAAGTTCAATATGGCTATTTCGCTTCTATGTCATAAAGATATGGTACGATCTCAGGTCAATCAATAAATTTCACAAGTGACACTCTATCTTATGAAGGAAATACTATCGTATTTTTCACTCCTGATTTGACCTGGAAAGGTTCAGGTAAGTTATCACAAGCAATTTCTTACAGTTATATCTTTGATTATGACTATTTTCTGACCATGAAGACAGGTATACAGGGATAATAAAGTCAATCGGACTCGGAGATATTTCACTAGCAATCAACCTATCAATATATTTTTTCAAAGTTGTTGACCTCATTTTCACCAAATATGCAATCATTTTAACAATGTTTAATGCATTACTATTCTTTACTTTAATGTATTAAATAGCTCTTGAAATAAGTGTTCCCCATGTTATTTCCCCTTTGAAAAAATTCATGCTATCCACTGGTTTCAGTTCATTTTGGTCAACCAAATTCAGTGTCTTTAAAGTCCCTGGAGCAATCCACTTTTCCTCTTAGGAAATATAACATGTCTCAAAGCATATTCTAATTATGCATTCAACAATATGATTAAAGGTTGCATCTTTGGTAAAAATTAGGTCAACATTTTTAGAAAAAAGTATGTTGATTGGTATTCCCTTTAATATCACTTAGGTCTGATTAATCATTATATTTACTTTTCTTGCAGATAATAAATAGATCTAAAAGATGTTCATGGTCAGAAAATATTCATTATTGAAGTTAGAATTGTCTGAAGTTGTTTGCGATAACCTACATGCTCCTTTATTACATTATTATGTAAATACTATCAAATACTTTAGTCATGACAGTTGAAGTAAACTGAAGTCTTGGTATTTAAATCCAGAATCAGATCTATATAGAGTAAGCAAAATTGAAAGCAACATGTACAGTTGACCTACTAATGTATTTCTTGCAATCTCAAATATAATATCTACCAAAAGATCCACAATATATTATTAATTGGTAATGTTGTTTAAAATTCAAAGTGTAAAAATGGGGAAATGTTCAAATTCTCCCAAATAATAATTAATAAGTTACACTAAGTTATACAAGTGTGAGGCACCATCGGTGGGAAAGTTATCTTTGGTTAATAAAAAATATTCTTAGCTACTTTTCTAACATCTGGCTGTGATGCATCATGGCTTAATGAGGACTCTGCTATATGGTCAGATGATGAGAACTAACAGTTTTACGGACTTTTGCCATGTTTTGCACATTGTAAATGACCCTTCTGAATGGGTTGTAAAGGTATATACCAGGAGGTATATATGGCTCAAATGACTCATGCCCTAGTACATGGGACACTGTAGTACATTACTTGTGCATGATGACCACCATAGTCTAGTTGCTCAAATGAGATCAATTGATGATTATAATGTTTAGACTTTATGTCAATGTTCAGACTGTATGCCAACCTCTCTAGTATGTGATTACACTAGATTTCATTATGATACATGTACTAAATTGAAAACTTACATATAAAATATCTTAAGTCCTATATTCTAGTAATAAATGAATTAGAATGTCACCTAACATTTGATGATGGTATGAATTTATTGATTTGGTGTCTATCAATACATGTTTCTAACTTAATGCTGCAAAATGATAAAATTCACCACATCCACTTTCTTCAATTTTCCAGGGGTAGGGCACTATAAAGTCATATTAAAATTACAAAATAGTACTTCATAACTAAAATAGATGTATTACAATACCGCACATAGCTTGGAAATGTTTTTAGAATACTACTATGAGCTGTTAAAGCTGTCATATTTTGCTTGAAGCTACAAATATAAAATTGGCAAGACAAAAATTGCGTATCTTTTTCCTGTTTATTGTATTTTTCTGAGACCAATAAGGGTATCAACCTATAACTTTAGGATAGTATTTATATTTGTACTAGCAATGTATGGTGTACAACCCAGAACAATAGCTCATATATCCTTTGAGTTATGAACTAGTTTCATAGTACCCCCTAGAATATTTTCCTAGGGGGGTAAAAATGCCAAAATTCAGTGTCGTGACCACCCTGTTGAGCTGTCATCTTTTAATATCTTTATCAGCATTAAAAACTGATCTAGAAAAAATAGGTCTGTTGCTTTTTCTAAAAAATGCCTCAAAAACTTGAATTATTTGAATTGGAACCTGTCTATAAAGTTTAGTGCCTTATTTTATTTATTTAGACAAAAGATAGTTCACAGTTGAAATAAAGATGACAAAACAACTTTTTGATGATGATAATCAGCAATATAGAGACAGAATAAGGTGTTTTGCATATAGAGAATGAGGGTGCTAGTTTAATTACGAAGTATTAAAATCTCTTGAGAAAGACACAGTCCTTTTCCATTCCCTTTTAGCTTCATATCAGGCTAGATTGGCAGCGGTTAAGGCTGCCCAAGGGGGTCATACTCACTTTTAAAAGTAAGTTGAAAATATATCTTATTTTCCATCATGCCTCTTCATCTTTTCACATGTTAACAACAATTAAATGCTCTTTCCAATGGTATATAGTATGTGTGTGTATCTTTCCTAGTTTATGCTGTGGAGGGGGGGGGGGGCACAACGCCATTTGACACCCTGTATATAATTATAATTGGAAGCAATCTTATTTAAAAATTTAAAATGCAGAAATGAATTCAGAATTGAAATTTATTAACAGATAACCTTAAACACTAAAGACTTGAACATATCATGAAAATTAGCAATGCATGGAATGATAAGGGCAAAAAATAATGCACTGTAGGGCTTCATAAAGGTCAAACAAATCCTCCTAAGATAAATGTATGACATGTACAAACCAGATTCTGCAAATATCACAAGTGGAAGCCTCTTGGGGTTATTCAGTATGAACTTTCTAGCCATGTCCAAAGCATCAGACTGTCCACAAAATGACTCTGTTTTATCCTTCACAAAATTCAAATGGTGGACGATCTCATCATAACCACAATAATATTCCGATTCAGGAATGAGAGTTTCAACCTTGTACTTGGCAGCATCTATGAGACGGGTAATGTCTTGTATAAACACATTACAGAACTCTTCAATGTAGAGATCATGTTCTTTGTGCTTCACATCAATACCTCCTGGAAACCAAAACATGAATTGTGGAATCATTATGGACAAAATGAATGTCTTCATTCAAGACTTCAACTAACCCCTTTACATTATTTCCTCACAATTTCGTTATCTTTTCTTAATTCAGTAAAATCTTATTACAAAAAGTTTTCACATGAAATATATGAAACAAATGGTTAAAGTCCCCGTCTAAAGTTTGAAAATATTTTTTTATCATTCATTTACTATTTGTCAGGACTTAAAAAGTGATTTTAGAGATTTTTGAACAAAAAAATTTTTTTGAAAAAAAAGTTGTGAGCATTTCATTTCTCAAATATTCAAATTTCCCGCCATTTTTCAAAAAAAGTTTCTTAATCATCAAATATTTCTTAATGCATTTCAAAAAAGATTATCTTTTTAAAACCAATGCAAAGATTGAACAAAAGACACACTATTTCAATAATAAAATGTCATATTTAATGGGCCACTTCAATGTTTCAACATTAGTGATGTCACTAAGGTAACAAAAACTTTTTGTTCCCCCTTTCACAGTGCCTTGTAGAGAATCCCCCTCACCTTTCCCCGCATAACCCTGCACAGACAGTGTTTGCAAAAAAAAATTTTTTCCGATGTCAATCTTTTCTAAATATGCTAGATTTTCATAAAAAACCAATGTTGATTGTCTAACCAGGTTAAAAGGAAGAATAAATTATGTTTTAGATATCATTTTACCATTGGTTTCTATGAGAACTAAAATTTTGAAATGCATTTTTCTCAGAACCATTTTCATGCACTGATAAGTTCATTTCTCGCTTGTTTGTCAACCCATTTTCTTAATTTTTTCGGCAAAAAACATGGGAGGATGAATGCTATGCATTGTATGAATTGTGGCTAATCATAAGATATGAGTGACCTCTAAAAGTTGGTTTTAAATAAATTCACAAATTTTGGAACAAAAAGTCTATCAAAAACCACTTTTTGAAATTTAAAAAAAAAGTTTCACATATCACACTTTGATAACATTGGGTAAGACTACAATATAAGCCAAAGTGGTTTAAACTTTACATGGGGCCTTTAAAAATACGGAGTGGCTCCAGGACCGACAATTGTCGGTACTGGAGACTGTCCAGGGGTATTTGCTGGGGTACCGACAATTGTCGGCACTCTATCGTCACCTAGTAGTGCCAGATAGAGAACCGACAATTGTCGGTACGCAAGTGGCTGCTACGTGTTTTTGCTAGAGAGCCGACAATTTCATAAATAAATGCACTACTTTTACTTTTAGAAATAACCCATCACTGGTAGCCTAGTGGTTAGGGAGCACGACTCGAACACACTCAGTCGCAAGTTCAAATCCCGGCAGGACCTACTTTTTTCTTTTGAGGGGGGGGGCATAGTGCTTCTTCTGCAGTTTGGAATCGTACAGGCATTAACTTGTAGTGAGCCATAATTTATTTCGACAAAAATTGATTCAACTTCCATCAAAATTGTCCTACAAGCTTCAATTAAAAAACATTTTAAAGCTCTTTTCTTATTCTATCTAATGGGTCGATATATACAGTTAGGGGAGGGGATGCTTTCGCCCCCGTCGCTCTCTACCCTTACTACGCCATGGCACAGGAGAAATATCTCATTTGGAATATATCACTGGTGTGTACTTTGCGTTTGGTAGCTCTCTCATGCGAGATGGAATCGTGGCCATTAACTAAGAGAGCCAAATGCAACGTCCATCAAAAATTGTGCTATAAGGTATGAGTACCGTAATCCAACACCAAATTCGAAAATTCATAACAATACTTTGCACATATGGCGTTCGTGACCAACTATGAAACGCTTACCCCCCATTGTGTTATATATCAAAATGCACCTGTCCATATAGGGGTTCGATTGACCTGTACATCAAATTATAGGGAGTCAGGTTACTTTTTGAGATATCAGCGTCCGTTTATTGTAACTTGCGTTTGCTACCACTTCCTCAATTCATATATGACGGGCAAACGCGTAGTAAACATGCTCACGTTCAGAAATATTTTCACCTACATCGCTATTTTCGTAATTCAAATGAAAGTTGAACTCCTCTTTATTTTGATACCAAATAGTGGCATACTAGGTACCCTAGAAGCCAACTATGGGTTATTTAGAATGATACCACAGGTTTTTAAATGGACTATATAGGGGTCATACCTTTTGGCGGATGGATATGGAACCTCATACCATAAGCTTCAAATAAAAAACATTCTAGCTATTTTCTTCTATCTAATGGGTAGCAAATGCCCCTTTCTACGCCTGATCGGCTCAGGAGAAATATCCTGTCTGTTTAGAATATATATAGCCGTTTACTCTGCATTAATAGCTCTCTAACGTCTTACTTGTTCATGTTTTTATTGGGTTTTCAACGTTTACTACCATTCCCCGTTCCCGGGCTACCATTTTTTGACTGGGTTTGGTAATCCCCGGGTAACCGGGGCTAATGCCCTCCCCGGGTTTTGCACTTGTTCCCAAAATATCCGTATGATATCTGAAATATCCCCCCGCGCATTGCGCATGCGCCAGAAAATTCGAAAATCAATATTTGTCGGTCCTCTAGCGTGTAAACACAGCATATCTCCCGTACCGACAATTTATTTGTCGGTCCTCTAGCGTGCCACCACATCAGAGTCTAGAGTACCGACAATTGTCGGTACTCTAGCCTTTACGTTAAAAATATGGAAAAATAGACCCAAAACATACCTGTCTTCCATGGGACATCATACAACTTGTAGTTTTCTTTCCCAAGCTTTGCAGGCAGCTTAATCTTTGAGACATTGTCCCTTAGTTTTTCTACCTCTCTGTCCACAATCCACTATAGTGTAAAATAATCTTCTAAATAATTTTTAATATTTACAGCTTTACTCTTTTTTAGTTTTCAGATGTTAATCTTTTTACTTTAATTCACCATATTTCTATAATCGTTATTTAAACAAGACACACAGTGATAAATATCGCACTTTGAAGAGCAAACTGGCCACCATGCAATTTACCCAGCATGGACAAAACCTAATCAGACCTTGGCACTAGTCTGCTCTTGCATCTGTAAACATTTCAAGTTGACAAGGTTAGCGGTTTTCCTGCAATTTTGATGACAAGAATTTATTTGTAGTCTTGAACTTTGGGAAAATTTAGATAACATTGTTTGTGACCTTATTTGATGACCTTCGACCTTGAAAATTTCACTTTTTCAGACCTCAGTAGGTGTTTTGTAATTAAGCTGACCTAAATTTTAATCCAAAATATCAATTTAGAAAATCAAATTTTTGACCTTTTAAAGGTCACTGAAGGTCAACGAAAGGTCCAATCTGAAATCTAAGGTCAGATTTGAACTTCTGAGAACTTGTAGATGTTTTTTAAAAAAAAATTTGGTTAATTTGGAGCAAGTTGAAAAATTCAAAATGGCCGCCAAATTGAAAAATTCAAAATGGCCACCATGTTATTCAGCCAGTATACCCAAAACCTAATCAGATTTTGGCAATAGTCTGCTCTTGCATCTGTAAAAATTTCAAGTTGAACGGATAAGTGGTTTTCCTGGAATTTTGATGACAAGATTTGTTGAAAAATTCAAAATGGCCGCCACATAGTTTACCCAGCATGCCCTAAACCTAATCAGATCTTGGCACTAGTCTGCTATTGCATGTGTAAAAATTTCAAGTTGAACAGGTTAGCAGTTTTCTTGGAATTTTGATGACAAGAATTGATTTGTAGTCTCAAACTTTGAGAAACTTGGATAACATCATTTGTGACCTAGTTTAATGACCTTGACCTTCGACCTTGAAAATTTCACTCTTTCAGACCTCAGTAGGTGTTTTGTAATTAAGCTGACCTAAATTTAAATCCAAAATATCAATTTAGAAAATCAACTTTTTTGACCTTTTCAAGGTCACTGAAGGTGGATGAAAGGTCAAATCTGAAATCTAAGGTCAGATTTGAACTTCTGAGAACTTGTAGATGTTTTTAAAAAAAAAATTGGGTTAATTTGGAGCAAGTTGAAAAATTCAAAATGGCCGCCAAATTGAAAAATTCAAAATGGCCACCATGTTATTCAGCCAGTATACCCAAAACCTAATCAGATCTTGGCAATAGTCTGCTCTTGCATCTGTACAAATTTCAAGTTGAACGGATAAGTGGTTTTCCTGGAATTTTGATGACAAGATTTGTTGAAAAATTCAAAATGGCCGCCACATAGTTTACCCAGCATGCCCTTAACCTAATCAGATCTTGGCACTAGTCTGCTATTGCATGTGTAAAAATTTCAAGTTGAACAGGTTAGCAGTTTTCTTGGAATTTTGATGACAAGAATTGATTTGTAGTCTCAAACTTTGAGAAACTTGGATAACATCATTTGTGACCTAGTTTAATGACCTTGACCTTCGACCTTAAAAATTTCACTCTTTCAGACCTCAGTAGGTGTTTTGTAATTAAGCTGACCTAAATTTAAATCCAAAATATCAATTTAGAAAATCAACTTTTTTGACCTTTTCAAGGTCACTGAAGGTGGATGAAAGGTCAAATCTGAAATCTAAGGTCAGATTTGAACTTCTGAGAACTTGTAGATGTTTTTTAAAAAAGAATTTGGTCAATTTGGAGCAAGTTGAAAAATTCAAAATGGCCGCCAAATTGAAAAATTCAAAATGGCCACCATGTAATTCAGCCAGCATACCCATAACCTATTCAGATCTTGACAATAGTCTGCTCTTGCATCTGTAAAAATTTCAAGTTGAACGGATAAGTGGTTTTCCTGGAATTTTGATGACAAGATTTGTTGAAAAATTCAAAATGGCCGCCACGTAGTTTACCCAGAATGCCCTTAACCTAATCAGATCTTGGTACTAGTCTGCTCTTGCATCTGTAAAAATTTCAAGTTGAACAGCTAAGCAGTTATCCTGGAAATTTGATGACAAGATTTGGTTTATGTGCCGCCCGCACGCCCGCACAACCGCACGCCCGCCCAACAGCACAAGACGACGACAATATAGCACTTTTTCAAAGTGCGATAAAAATATCTAATTTGGCATATAAGGATTAAATGTTTTATATTTGAAAGGTTGCACATTGCACTTTAATCTATACATGTATATTTATCTACCCTACCAAAACTTAGTCTTGCCTCAAGATCCTGGACCCCCTTCCCACTATCTACTTTACCCCAGAAGTAGATAAGGGGGGTTCACAAGACTGAAGCAAGACTAAACTTTGAACATTTTAGTATTTCTTGTATACCTTTCCATTCTCTTGTATGCATTCCATGTATCTGTGCATGGTTGGCTCTGTCAAGTCCTCATCAGTCCAGTCTTTTAGCGACCTCACATAACACAATGCCTGGCTTGAGACATCTTTTACGCCATGTATACCCTTTGCTATCTCCATTTCAGTCACTTTAATATAGAAACATGAATAATACAAAGATTACATTTCTCCAAGCTTTTTAGTTTTATTTAGGGATTTGCAAATCATTTTTTCATTCATTATGGTGTCATAACAATAACTTGAGATATAGATTACTAATATTAAATAATATCAATGTCAATCAATATAATTATTTAGTCATTAAAAATATATACACACACCATGCCCGTAGCTAGGATTGGCTTCACTTTTTAAAAAATTCCAGAGGGTTTGCTTTTGACTACTATGGCCAATGATCTATGATCAATGATCTATGATCACTCAAAAAGTGCTCAGAATGATGAAAAACTACATGATTTTGAAATAAATTTTGGCCAGGGCGTAGTATAGTAGGGGTGTAGTAGAGAGGGGGAGGGTCACAAGGGCGTGTAGCTAGACTAACACCCACAATTCAAGTTACATGTATTTATCTAGACTCCAGTGTAGATTGTATACCTGCCATGAAGTATTTATGAGCATCTTCTTCAGTCAGAGATCCCTTTTCTATTAGACTTTTTGCAGATTTCCTGACAATTTGTTGAATTGTTGAAAATGTTTCCCACCATTTAGCTGAATCTTCTTTACGTTTTGCATCGTCTGAATGGTCACCAAAGTACTTCAAGTGAGTTCTTATTGGCTGCAATAGAAGTTCTGTTTCTTATAGGATTGTTTAACGGAACAAAAATGACATGCTATATTTGACAAAAAGTAAAATTTGAGTGTAATTCATTGCTAATCCTTGATTTCTTGCAAGATATAAACTGCAGGGACTTTATTGTGGCCCACCCTGTACCTAACCGTAAGAAATTAACTGGAGGACATTTTCTCGGTCCACTCTGTACCTAACTGTAAGACATAACTACAAGGACTTTACAGTGGTCCACCCTGTGTACCTACCTGTAAGACATAAACTGCAGGGACTTAATTATTGTCCACCCTGTTTACCAACCTGTAAGGCATAAATTACAAGGACTTTAATATGGTACACCCTGTGTACCTACCTGTAAGATATAAACTGCAGTATTATTGTCCACCCTGTGTACCTACCTTTAAAACATTAACTGCAGGGACTTAATTATTGTCCACCCTGTTTACCTACCTGTAAGGCATAAATTACAAGGACTTTAATATGGTCCATCCTGTGTACCTACCTGTAAGATATAAACTGCAGGGACTTTATTATTGTCCACCCTGTACCACTGAGAAAGCATATCCAGTCCCTCTAGGTTAAGCTCCCTTGCCTCACCCTGTAACATCTCGTATTCACCCACAGTAAGCTCAACAGGAATCGGACGGTAGCCATAACGATTTCCCAACAGACTCTAAAAATAAAAAAGTGTGAAAGTTGATAAATCCTCGCATTGTTGTTGCAATATATCCTGGGAATTAAAATAAACAATAGAAAATAGAAGCATTACGATCTGGTGATTAAACAAAAATACTTACAACAAAATTTGGTCCAACAGAAAGTCTCTGACAATTGGCTATCTCTGTCAGACAGAGGTCTTCTGTACCATGATCATTTGTGGCATCATCTGTCACACCCCAACGCATGTCAACAACCTGAGAATAGACAAACTTGTACTTTTCTAAATTCACCAGTGGATCTCTGGTCTCATCCTTTTTTTATGCACAAGCACAGAATGATTGGCCGCCCTCATCAATTCCCAGATCTAACCCACAAACAAGACTGATACTCGTATGTCTTGAGCTATTCATGCTCATGGCACTCATGGGAAATCGTAAGGACCTTTTCGCATTTATGAATATATATTTTATGCAGAGAGGTATATGACTTAAACAATTCTGAGCCAGAGTGGAGGTCTCCAAATTACAATGAATATGTTTGTTCATGCATCTATCGAGGACATATGTAGCCTAACCAATCTTTTTCATAATATACTTAATATTTTAATGAATTATACTTATTTTGTGAGCTTATTTCCCCTTTAAAAATGTTATAGATGTTGAACTGGGAATTCAAATGACAAATGTTGCAAGATGATATTTTTGATGGTACAGTAGAGTACATACATACCTGGAAATCCAAGCCTAGATCACTGCAGTAGTTCTTGAGCCTGGGGTATGCCACCTTTACCAATGTGTTACGTTCAGCCCTCATGTCTGCAATATTATCAAAAGTGTTCACTGAATGTGTTAAATTAGTGTGATAGTCGTATATTGTATTACAATAGTTTCTCTGAAAATACTAAGCTGATAAAAATGTGTACAAGGATTGTTTTTGTTAAATTAGTTACTCGTGAATGTTGAGCTGATAAAAAGGTGTTCAATGGTTGTACATTGTAGTTACTTGAGAATGTTGAGCTGATAAAAAGGTGTTCAATGGTTGTACATTGTAGTTACCTGAGAAGGTTGAGCTGACAAAAAGGCATACAATGATTGTACATTGTAGTTACCTGAGAAGGTTGAGCTGACAAAAAGGCGTACAATGGTTGTACATTGTAGTTACCTGAGAATGGTGAGCTGACAAAAAGGCGTACAAAGGTTGTACATTGTAGTTACCTGAGAAGGTTGAGCTGACAAAAAGGCGTACAATGGTTGTACGTCTTGCAGGGATGTCATCCAGGCAGCCTTCAATGAGATCATCAAACTTTTGTTCTTCACTCTTGATATTGGGCAGGGCTAAAAATCAATTATTTGGTCGTATTACATGAATATTACATAGATATCAAAGCCTTTCTTAAAACAGAGTGCATCTTATGGCTTATGGATATGGTCAATATAAAGTCATGACACAGTCAAGATACATGTTTTTGTCTTTATTCCTTTTGGGGAAATGGCCACACTGGTTGATGGATTAGGGTTTTTTAATTCCGGTTAAAAAGTTTTTTTCAAATCAGCATGTAATTTAGTGAAATTAGCTGGAGCATTAATTGATAATCATCTCTTACTATAGACCAATGTCCATCTAGGTTCAATACAAAATTGCATAGATTTTTTGATTTCTAAAAGATATTAACGTAATGTATCACACAACAATATTTACAGATCATAACACACCATTATTCATGGCATTGTATACCTTTTTTTATCTGATGAGACTGACCTTTTTGTTTTGAAGATAAATTATTTCCTCCACTCATTTTCGACTTTGTTTTCTTTTGTATTCTGAAAAACGCAAAAAATCCTGAATTTAAGCAACACATTTAATGCGTAAATTGCTGTTATTTTTTATAAATGTTAGCATTTTTTTGCAAATTAAATAAACATTTCTTAGGGCTGTTGAATGTTGTTATTACTGACATCAAAACAAAAATGAAATAATAATCAAAAGGCTTATTATTCATTGTAAATTAATTCAGTTGATGGCTTACTTGTCAAGTCTTGCAGGTGGTGTCTTTGTAGGTGGACTCCTTGTAGGTGGAGTCCTTGTAGGCTGAATGGTGGTAGAGGCCATGGATCCTGAAATTGTAGCAAGACACACAATAATAAATATTGTACTTCGATGAGCAAAATGACCATCATGTTATTTATCCAGCATGCCCAGAACCTGCATGTTATCAAATCTTGGCACTCGTCTAGTCTGCTTTTGCATCTAAATGTATAAAAATATCAAATTGAAAAAGATAAGTGGCGGTGATCTCCACAGTATATTTTCTCAAGTGGGTGCAAAATTCTCATTTTCAAAATTCAGATCAAAATTGGTCAAAATATGCCCATTTTTCATAATTTTTCTCATTTTCAAGTGGGTGCAGAAGGATTTTCAGGTGGGTGCAAGCCTATTTCCAAAATCTTAGGTGGGTGCTGAGCCCACTTGCTTTAATGCTGAGGAGATCACTGAGTAGTTTCCCTGGAATTGAGATAACAAGATCTACATGTATGTGGCACTTTCTCACCCAAATAGCTTGCCCAGCAGCACAAGATGGTGATAATAATATAGCATAAAAATATGATATGCACAAACATAAAATATGCATGTAATACATCGGATGTACTTATATTAATGCAGCCTATATAGAGATGCTATGTAGAATATATCATTATTTTTTATATATATAATATAACCCATTTCATTTAATAAGACTGGGTATGTGAACTCTATTTATGTACTGTAATAATCTAGTACTATTTATTCATACAAATTAGTCAAAACTTTTAATTATGAAATAATATTGCTTCGGAACATTTTGAAATCAGAAAACCTATACTCGTAATGTAGTGTAATACTGAGCAACTACAAGAGCTACAATGATTTCTAAATAATTTTAAAATTAAATATCTACCTGTTAACAGTTTCCCTTTGGTACTTGCCACAGGTGCTAAAGTCTGATTGGTTCCCCCTTTCACAGTCCCATGTAGAGAATCCCCTTCACCTTTCCCCGCATGACCCTGCACAGACAGTGTTTGCAAACTGCCTTTGTCGGAAAATGGTGTCTAAAAATGGAAAATGTTTTCTAACAATCATGTTCATTAGTTTATAACAGAACATATTCCTATTCTTCAATACGGAAAAGTATACATGTATCATACTGGGCATATTGAGGCACTTCCTTAATATTTTACTTAAAGGAATATTCCTTGCCAGACCCTTTCTCTCTTTATATGGTAGCTATAATCATATATATAGTTTCCATATTTAGCAAAACATGGGAAAATGTTTTAATATGGTCAATATTGATCATTTAAAAAACTAGTGCTTATTTCCAGTGAGCTGCCATCTTTTAAGATTTCTTGCAGGAAGTGATGTCATCAACTCTCAACTTCTATAACCTTGCCCATAACAGTAGAGGAAAGTAGCACAAAATCACTTCTAGACAAGTGATCATTACTTTCTGTGCAAAAATATTTTCAGGGCTTGTCAACTTAGAATAAAAGAAGAGATTTAATTAAGATTAAATAAGATACAAAGTTGAAAAAGAATATTTAGCTGGTTTTGTAATTCTTAATAGCTCATCACCTAATGCTATATGCAAAGTTGAGAGTCGATGACATCACTTCCTGTGTGAAATTTTAAAAGATGGCAGCTTACTGAAATTGAGTATCACATTTCTAAGTGATCAAATTTGACCATATCAAAACATTTTTGCGTGTTTTGCTAAACATGGCAAGCATATATATGGTTATAGCTACCATATGAGTAGAGAGATGGTTTGGCAAGGAATATTCCTTTAATGTGCTATAAAATTCTATGTGGACACCATGCCGTACATGGTGTTCCACATGAATAGATTATCTTTACCCCTTACTTACATTGCCAGAGGGTGGAGTACGTCCTGTGCGAAGCTGACTTCCTTTCATACCCACAGCAGCTGACAATGGGGGAAGAGCACTGGGCTATGAGATAATAACCAAGATAAGCATTAAATCATTAGGCTGAGAAAGCTAAACCAATAGTTTTGTTTGGATGTGCTACTACTTTAATTGGCATTTTATTAAATATATAGTTTTTAAAACACATATACATGTATTGTATTCCAGTTAGCAAAACAGAAACTACCCCCCCCCCTCCTGAATCCGGCAGTGGTGTACTATAGTAGTATAGATGGTGATGAGATGAAGTAATATAACATGATACAATAAAATTTTATTTTAGTGTACTATAGGCAAAATATTTATTATGTATATTCCTACATTCTGAAACTCATAGCATCTCTCTCTGTTGCATCACAGACGGAAAGAGATACAGAGACCCACATCTAGGGATTTTTCAGCGAAAGAGTGACCCATGTAGTAAATATATTGGAGTACCCTCCCCCCCCCCCCGGGACTCACAGTACCTTTGATTTCTTTGCAGATCCCTTCATGTCTGAATGTTATCTACTTGAGCACATTTGTCGATAACAGCTACTAGAACTCTGTTCGGGCAATTAAACCTCATATTCTGCTTATGGAGCTGATCTACATCTGGTTTTATTACATGATCATCTGGATCATCCTATATGTAAAAAGAGCACCTGTAATCTGTATGTTTATTGTTGATGCACAGCATAGCCTACAGAGGCGTAGCGTGGGTATTTTGTGAGAATACGCCACGAGTGAGCGAAGCGAACGAGTTCGAGGGGGGTTTGGGGGGTTCTCCCCCAAGAAAATTTTAAAATGAGATTGCATTTGAAGCGTCCTGGGTCGGTTTGAAATACGAAATTCCGACCTAATCTGGACCAATTAAATGTAAATTATTTGTCATTTTTATCCAATATTTTATGATTACATAATAAATCATTTTTCTCTCAAATTTGAGAGTACGCAATGGCGTTTTTTGCGTATATGACGCTACGCCATTGGCCTACAATAAGCTGTTCATTGTCGCGTAATTGAATACGTGATATTTAGACATAGATTCGTATCCCTCGACACCGATCGGGTACTAATGAAAATCTTGATTAAAATGTCATTCTTTCTACATAGTTTACAATCACATTCTTCACTATACGTCTGCTACAACGAGAAACATTGAACTTTTTAAGAACCTTTCTACTTACCGGAAGTTGTATTAGTTCTTATAGTGATGCTGCACTAATTTAACGAACAAATAAAAATTCGGATGATATTTGTTCGTAAATGTATTGGCCACACTCAGACATTTGCTAGTTTAGTAGAGTTTATTCGTACATAAAGATTTACATGTAATCAATTTTGAATGAATCTTGATAGTTTGGTCTTGCTGCAAGTTAATTATCAGATGCCAGAACTTCATGTGAATCACAGACACGGGGACAAGAGTTCATCCCCTCCCACGTTCTAGCTTATTAGGTAGAAAAAGGAAAAAAGCTTTTTTCCTACATTATACAGTACGTGTGGGGATTTAAATCTTATTCCTGGGCCTTACCTGTGATGTGAATGTTGTGTTGGGAGTTTTAGCCTACATCGCCCAAGTCAGTTGGTTGTACGTCCGATTTATGCCGTCGAGATATTATTAACAATATGATAAAATATATAGATCTACAGAGTGTTCCAAATAATTGTACCCAAAAGAGAAATTTGACAAATGGAAATTTTTAGAATAACAGATGAATACGTACATGTATGTCGATGGCAATAAAGCCAAAATCATTCATGGTCGTTCAAAATTACGGTAGATAAACCGAAGTCGGTCTCTAGTTAAGAAAAGTTCTTAAAGGTGCAACAATTTAGTGCAGGGGGACCATTCAATGATCAACGACCAGTGTCAAAATATATTTAAGTTTGGATATTTCATCAAGACTGAATATATTTTCATTATCTTCAAAGAAAACCCCCTGGATGAAAACTATTTCAGCTGATATTCCTCTTTAGTGAAACGTGGTGGATCTCAAAACTCTATAAGTGGGACTCCCTTTATAGAAGCTTTGAACTGAATTTAAGCTTACACTTCTTAATGCTGAAATTGATAGTTCATCCATATATTTTAAGAAAATAGGTAAGTCAAAGAAGGTGTTAGCCAATTACAGACCTGACAGCTCAGAAAAAATAGAAATTTTCTAATTTGCTCTCTACAGTCCTTGTTGCCCCTTTAAACATTAAAGTTGTCTAAAGGATGAAGGTGTAGAGGAAGATGGGATTCACCTAAAACGATTCAGTGTTGACGACCCTCACTTTACCTTGCTGGAATTTTCGAAAGTAAAAAAGTAAAAATAAGTTATTCATGTCGATTGACAAAGATCTAAGATAAAGTCATTACTATGGATGAAGTGGAGGGGGTATGTTTAATCTCATTTTAATCGTTTACTTATGAACAACTGAAAGATTCACTATAGCTTTTCTACGTCTGTTTGCCATTGCCCGATATTTTCACTATTTCAACATTTGATTTCGGGTTTAGATTCTGCTGACGTTGATTTCAATATTTGACATTGTTAAAACGTTTCATCTGTCTAAGAGGATTTATTATCTCAAAAGTTAATGTACATGAAACAAAATATTCAAAATTACAAGCGTATTTTATACATACATATATTATAAAACAATAGACTGAAAATTTATTGTTGACAGCCTTGTAAAAGTGCACAGAGCTATGAGCGTAGTGATAAATGGTGGAGCTGCCGGTTATGAACTTTTTATTGGTTTTCATTTTTTTAACAAATCAATCATCCCTTTCAAATCCAGCACACTTTAGATCAGTCTTTATCAGTCCATATCTTCTAAAGATACAATCTGAGGATAAATCAATTAATCCATAGATCTATCAAAATGCAATGACATTTCAGATCAGACGCCTTCTGTTAAGTTTCAATCATTATTCAAAATCTCTATTCTGTCTTTCAACTGTTCAAGTGTTCGTTCATAAAACTTTAGCTGAACTGGAGAAAGTCCCCGACTTTCATACAATGATACAAGTCTACTACGAAGATCTCGAATTTTCTCTTCGATTATAGATGGCAGAAACAAATCTGCACCTTCTGCAAAAGTTCCTCCAGCTGCGGGAGATTCCCGAATTATAGCAGACGACATTGACGTCATTTTGCACCAGGCATCTTCCTCTGCAATATGGGGATCTCGTAGGAATTTTATGCAATATTCCAGATTTGTTATCAATGGCTTTGCATATTGCAAAAGATCATTTTCAGAATCCTCTGAAGTAAGGAGGTCCCCTATGTGTTCACATAATGATTGTATCTCCACGATGCCTTCTTCTATATCACGAGACGCTTTTGGACGAGCGCGGCGAGTTAATGTGTCTGTGGATTTTCGCAACGCTTTATATGCCTCATTTCTTGACTCCTGTTGGCCTACTTTCAGCAACGCCTTTTCAGAGGTTTCATCCTCATTCAGAGGAACTTTGGAATAAGATACAGTCCCACGCATGCGTTTTCGTGCCATTTCTTTATCTCGAAATCGCACTTCAATTTTCATAACATCTTTACCTTTTAACGTTTTTTCATGACCCTCTGGAAGGTCAAGCACAACGATAACATGTCTTTCCATATTTGGTGATATATCATGAATGAAATATTCCAAAATTTGATTATCGTCTGCATCATCGTCCTCATATGACTGAACTCTAAATTCATTGGTTGATTCGTCCACTTGAAACGTGACACCATTGAGTGCTTTTAGATGAACCTTTATTCCAGAGGCGACGCTGCTTTCACGCATTAGAACTGGCTTCATCATGGCAACCTCGAGATCCGTGTCGTCGTCAAGGAAGTAAAATGCATCGCTACTAAAAGACTGACCCACTTGGAACAACAACTCGGGGATATATCCACCAGTGCTAAACGCAGAGATTGTAACATCGTAGTCTTCAATATCTAGCTCCCTTCCGACCTTATCTAAACGTCGCCTCATAGCAGGAATGAGTTTGTTGGCGTCCTTGATACCTTTATTGGCTAGTCCGTCCGAGAATAGTATAATAGTGTCTCTGTAGTCGGTCTGGATCAATGTACCATCCCTGAAAATATAAGAATTGATTTTGATAATAAGACGGACAGAGTCATTCACCCGTACAGGGTGGGCCGAGAATATCAATTACCATTATTTTTACCAATTTAAGATTTGGTGAAAATGTTAATGTCTGTTCTCTCAAAAATACAACAGTTCTGACCTTATTTCAAGATAATGTTTCAAAAAAGAAAGTAAATTGTTTTTTAAATATAAGGGAAACATTTTTTGAACCAAAACTTAACATGCCCTATCACTTATAATTCCTTTAATATATCCTATAAATCCTATTTCATAGGTTGACGTGAACGCCCGGATTTTGACGAAATGACTAAAGATTTGAATCCCAGCTTTCAACTGGTACCAAAATCAGCACTACGTGCATCTTATAACTGGAAGGGCCATTGTAACACTCCAGGCACAAATCGAGAGAAATATGCAACATACGACGTAGAACCGATTTTGTGAAGCTACGGCCGCCTTATAGTGGTTCGAGGCTTAAGTCGTAGGGCCACTCCCGAGTAAACTCGAAAACCAACCGCTAAAGTAAATGTCTAAAGTGCTTAAAGTGAACTCACAGTTGCAACTCATTGGACTCCAGAAACATTTCGATTCCACCCAGCAAGCCAGCGCTGAGGTTCGTTGTGCCCCTGCTAATGATGTTATCTATGGCAAACTTAGCTTGCAACTACAAAACAAACAAAACAAAAGTGAAACATAGGAATCGTAATTGATTGTTTTGAGTACCTACATGTATGTACCTAGCCTACTATTCTCACTGATAAGTATTCGTGTTATTAAGTGATAATTACGAATTTCATTAGTGTATTACGGAATATTCATTACATATGATAAGATCCGAACGCAAAGAATGTTCATATATGACGTATAGAGGTTGCGATACCATTTATAAACGTAGTTATTTCAATAGTCTTGCATCAAGACCCTGGACCCCCCCCCGGGGGACCCCCTCCGCATTATCTTCTTTACACCAGTGTGATGTGTTGGAGAAGTAGATTAGGGGGTCCATAGAAGCAAGACTATTGTTTCAATATAATTCATTTACCTTTCCCTTGGCGGTCATATGTGTTGGAGGCAATGTAATCCAGGCATCTGTACCAAACGTTACAATCCCTAGAATGTCATCATCAGACAGAAACTCCACCAATAATTGTGAAAACATTTTCATTTTGTCAAGTTTCGATATGTCGTCGTTACCTGTGTAAAAGTAATTTCATTTTAAAGTTGAATTCAATCAGTACCCAAACAATCTTTATGGTGGTCTAGTGGAAGAAATGGTACATGTAGGATTGCATAATATGCCATGGTCCTCTATCCTATCTTGATTCACAAGATTACAGTTGCAATTGCACCAAGTGTTATATACCTTTGAATTCGAGGATGCATCTATTCCCGATGATAGAGGTCCATGCTTATGCAAAGAGGAACAAATATTCTGGATAACTTAACTTGGACCTTTCACACTTAAGGACCTGCATAATGATGTCAGTCAAACTGGTCCAAACTACAGGGTGACCGGAAAAAAGGAGACCATTGAAATAGGCAATATCTCCTAAAATAGACTAATGACATCAATGAAATTTTGCATACATCAGGACAGTTCTATGGAAATTTGTTCCTGAAAGTGTCAATACAAGCAGTCAACTGGTTCAGGAGCTATGATCATTTACATAACATGCTCCAAATAGGCGCAATTGAGACCAACGCAGAGCTGGATACATTTGGCAAATACCCTTACATATTCCGACCTTGTTATGGCATTACATTTAGCATTTATTGCCACCTTTAGGTCAGCAATTGTCTCAGGATTGTTTTGGTACACATTGTCTTTCAAATTGCCCCACAAAAAGAAATCAGGTGGATTCAAATTTGAGGTGTATGGAGACGAAGCTTATCTGACCTATGGCTTCTGACTCAGTGGTCCCACTCAGTTACAGTATCATCCTAAGGAGGTTTTGGGCAGCCCTTGGTTTCCATATGGGATTTAATTGTGCCATATAGTGGTTTTAGTAACATGGCACTATGCCCAATACCTAAAGTGACTCTTAAGATTGGGTAAATCAGCACTTTGGCAACAGGATGATGAACCACATGTCAGATAACCCTTCATTGCCATTACAGCCTAGACTTGAATCCTGCTGATTTCTTTTTGTATGGATATTTGAAAGACAATCTATACCAAAACAATCCTCAGACTATTGTTGACCTAAAGAAGGCAATCACTGCTATATGTAATGCCATAATAATGCCATAGAGGGCAGAACATGTAAGGGTAGTTTGCCATATGAATCCAACTCTGCGTTGGTCTCAATTGTGCCTATTTGGAGCATGTTATGTAAATGATCATAGCTCCTGAACCAGTCGAATGCTTGTATTGAAACCTTCAGTAACAAATTTCCATATAACTGTTCCAGTGTATGCAAAATTTCATTGATGGCACTTGTCTAGTTTAGGAGAAATTGATTACTTCAATGGTCTCCTTTTTTCCGGTCACCCTGTAAATCGTCCCACTAATAGGTTCCACGATATACGGTATAACGTGATTGAAGATAAATGTAATGCGATTATTGAATACTTACCATAAGGTTCCTCCATGCTGTAACTGATATCTATGACACATTGAATCCGCAAAGGAGTCTTCTTCCCATCAGGCTCGGGTGGCTCACCTCCTTTGAGTTCCAAGACTACCTTCGTCTGGAAAGGTACAAAATGATATATATGTATGTACATACATGGAGTCTTATATCATTCTAATAAAAATAATGATAAATCGATCGATTGAGCGACATTCTAAACAGTACTGTTTAGCCTTCATAAAACACTACTACCATCTAGTGGCCGATTTAATACTCAATCTAGAAACTCATCAATTGGGAATCAATAGCTATTAAGTCATCGACACAGATGGAAATATAAACTTTAAATTGTTTTAGCCTTTATTTCAGTAAATTTAGTACCCACCTGATCTCGTATTTTGGTACAGTAGTAAGCCAACTTAAGGGGATCTTGTTCTTTGTTAGCAGCGTTGTTTACTATCTTCTCCTCCGTCGAATTGTCGTCTGAAAATAGAATGAAACAAAAGTGCATTATGGTTAAAAATCCTAGAATTGCAAGCTGCAATGTTTCACAAACACAAACGGTAGGCCTACATAGAAACGTCACCAAACTATTACTGGCTTGCTGGCAAATAGCAAGAATGATAATTGCCGAAACTAAGTGTTTTGTATTGTATTGTATTGTATTGTATTTTTATTGTATTGTATTGTATTATATGGCTTTTGGCAAGATCGCACATTGGTCTGGCCAATACTATTTTATATTAACTGAATTTTGTTTTGAGTGGCAGTAAAAGAAAAGAGAGTGTAAAGTCGAAGCAATATTTTCAGAAAGCATGTCAATGTTTCCATTACGATACAAATTTTATTATTTGAAAAATTAGTTAACAGATATCTGATAAAATACTAAAGTTATTTTAAACATTTAAGATGCAGAAGTGCTCACATTCATTAAAATTGAAAAGGGAATGCATTTTAATCATTTGCAAATTCAAGCATTATCATGAAAATAACGTACTGGAAAAGTATCTGCTGGACGAAACATGAGATGCTTTGAGCAGCAAAAATATTGTAAAATTGGTTTATTTAGATGCGCATTGGCGTTCTTTTTCGTCCTTCCGACTAACACAAGATCGAAATGTGAGACTTTTATCAGTTATGAAAAAACAATATTAGGCCAACTATTGGCGCGAATTAGTATTGAATATAAGAGTACACCTGATAGATTGGTGTTTAGACATCTACCTCATTGACTTATCATATCATATACATCTCCTAAAATTGCTTCCGTATTTTTAGTTTCTGCACTTGTTTATGTGTTTCTGGCAGCAAAGATAATTGTCCATTACAAAATGTAAGCATTTGCAAATATTTATGATGCTAATACAGGACAGAATGAATGAATCGTGCAATCAAAAAGCGCGACATGCTGACACTTTAACTAACTCAATTACCGCGTGCTGAATGTAAGGAGCATCATTTATTGCTGGATCGATTTATATTTTTGATAGCCCTGGTTGCAAAACAGTTTCAAGGGGTTTTAAAGTTCCCGGTGCTACATCCAGGGTGTTAACGCAAGAGGTAAATTAAAATTGGAGTGGGTAAACTTGAACCTGAACGCACCTTTCCACTCAAGTAGCAGCTCGAATCCATTTGTCTTAGATCACACCTTCCCATACCTCGCTGATAGGCAATTTACAGTTGCTGGCACCCTGGATTTTTGGCGCTTGGCACATGCTTTTTTCTTTTTGAACTGGCATTTAGTTAAATAGATTATATATTTATTTTGTCTGGTATTTAAGAATGAATCATTGAGACTACAATAGTGTGTGTTATTAAGATATTTCGACACGAGATTGCAAAACGAGAATCTCCAAATGGAAAACAGCGGCAATAGAATATCATAACTTCACTACTTCATCATTTCAAAGTATCCTCATGTTAAATATTATCAAATATTACCCTTTGTTAAATATTCTATTGGAAAGTCGTTAGATTCCTGGTCCTCATTACGTAAGGAAAGACCGATGCAATCCCAAATTCCAGCAAAACGAGAAATTAGATAAAATCCAGAGTGAAACGTTATACGTTAATGTTTTATATGATGATCGGCAAATAGTCATATAAGTTACATGCAATCAGCTAATGTAATATTAATGCCGATTTAAAATTTAAATTAAAACGAGGCATTAACATGACAAAATGTCACCACCTCGCTGCTCAAATCTGAAATCTAAAGTCAGATTTGAACTTCTGAGAGGATGATTTTGAAAAAAGTGGTCAATATGAAGCAAGTTGAAAAAAGACCCTTTGACCTTATTTGACCTTCAATGACCTTATTAGAAGGTCATTGAAGGTCAAATCTAAAGTCAAATTTGAACTTATAACTTTGAAACTTAAAAAACTTTAAAATTGAAATCAGTATTATAAACGGTATTTTAAAGTTAATGGAACTAATAAGAATTTGTTACAGACGCCAACCGCCACTAAAAACAAAAAACGGAGATCACCACAATTTGTCACCACTTTTTGGTGGTGACATAAAAACAATCAAGTCAACTGCTAGTTGGTGGATTGCGTCGACTCTAACCAGCGTGCAACTTGGATTAGCAAATTATAGGGGAAAGGCGCTTCTCATATCATCTAGAGAATTACGAGAGGGCGAATCTGTTGTTGTAGAGTGATGACAGACAATGGGCAAAATGTTATAAACTCCCAAAGTAGACCATCTTTATCTGTGAAATATATAAAAATAGCACTGTTATAAAGATAGTACGGTTATTCTTAACCAGAAAAGTATCTATTAATACTGAGAGACCTCGCGTAATGATGGAGTCGCAGTTAGTGGAAAATATTAAACATTCTAGGGATTTACGAATCCCTGCTTCTGGTACCATTTATATCATTGGTCTTCTTCAAAACATTCTATTTTGATAGATACTCGAAAAATGTTTAAAAACACATTGAACTCCGACTGACCAATATAATTTTGAATAGATTTTACTTCAAATCCGTTGGTTCGAACTTTTTAATCAAAAAATGTTTGAAACATGATTTGGAATTTATGTTTTGCTTCAAACTTTTATTGCTGAGAGTAGAACATCGAAACATAACTCATTTTACAATGTTAATGTTTTTTCAGTGTTCGACTAACAAAAGTTTTGAAAATTGCTTCAAATGTGGATCTAAAAATAATGTCTTTAGAATTTCTCCTTTGAAACTGCTGAAGAATTTTAACATATCCATTGAACAAAAACTTTCAATGGTTTAAAAAGAAAAAATAATTTGTATCCTTGATAGCACAAATTCATTGCCATGTTACCTGAAATGACCCAGAATATGTTAACTTAAATTATAGATACACAATGGCTTTGGGAAGACTATGAATGTCTTAAAGAGAAGCTAATCTCATGGAATAATATGGATGATATTATACAATGTGTATTATATATCACCATAAGTGATGGTTCTACGACACCATGCGCTTACGCTAAGCTGTGAATAGCATAATAGATAATGGTCATTGACTCGGAAAACATTGACCTTAAACTGTTAAAGGAAACACACAATCTGAAGGCCTTCGTGAATCATAGCAAGTTAAATTACAAGAGTTTGTGAAACCAGTCAGTCAATAACTAATTGCCAAAAATTAAAAAAAAAAACAAGAACTAATATTTCTAAATAGTAACAAGACGAGCTAGATTTTTATGCACAACATATAAGCATAAAGCCAGGCCACTGTATGTTAATTGTCTGTTAATTCGGACCTCAAGAAATGATCAAACGATCGGGCTTTTTATCAAATAAGTGTAGATGACAAAAGGCCTATCAAAATTTTAAAAATCCCCAAATCTCGATAAAAGCAAGACAAACGGTTTGTTCACTCGGGGAGGTTTTGAATGGGCAATATACTAAGTGTCTTTTAAACGGATATTTATTTTCAAGGGTCTTACCTAGGAAATTACAATTTCGAGAATTGGCGTGCATCTGTTCAACTTGTAACATCTAACATCATAGACACATGCTCTGGCATTTTGCTAAGTTTGACTGACTCATTTTCTAATATTGCCTCAATTTTAAGTGTACCCAGATATGCATGACAGATCACATGACGTCATACAACCAGTTGGGCTGATGAGTTGCCGACACGTATGCTGGGATTGAAAGCACACTTCGGCAAGACACCATGCTTTATACCCACTGGGTTGGTTAGATCCCGGTTAGATCTACCGAAGAGTAGAACTGACATGTTAATGTCGATATGACTTAGCAAGAATGCAATTTTTCTCGAGGGTACTGTTATAGCAAAAGGTAGAAAGTAGAATGCAATTAGGCGAAGGTAATTATCATTGAATATGATAGTGTTAATTCGGTTGCATCTCATTCTGAGCAATTTCCCTAAGAAGTTTAAGCCAATGTATGATTATAGTGAAGCTAAATGTCAGCGCGATACTCGCCAGTAAAGATATGGTAAAAGAGCACAGAAATAAAAATAAAGGGCCCAAAATAAAACGCATGGATGGAGATTGTTATATCTTGGTACTTAAAGGTCTCGTGTAAAGTTGAATCACTTTGGCTTATTATTTTAGTCTACGTATATCATTTCTTTTAAGATGAGACATTATTTGAAACTTCTTTTAAATTGTTTTTTTTTAAAGTGGCTTTTGAACAAAGTTTTGCTAAAAAATGTTGAATTTGTCACATATCCATGAAAAATAATTTAGGACATATTCCAATAAGCAATAGATACACGAAAATAACCAATTAAGAAAATTAAATAACAATTCCAATAAAGTTCTGAAAAGTACGAAGAATAATTATTCAAGAGACCATGATGGATGATTCAAAGAACTTCAAGAGAGCTTTTACATCATCCCGTGGAGTCTGTGAGTGTTCTATCATTCACCCTAAACCCACAGATACCAGAGATCAATTGCAATCCAATTTGTCAGATGAAACGAGAAAATGAGTACCATAATTGCTACACCCCCTCCAAAAATTTGGAAATCTTGTTTTTCTTTCGAAAGAGTGTTTAAGCCAAGATAAGTTTGGATTTTATTTTTCTCTTAACTGGGAATTTATGACTTTGATGATGATCTTTGATTATAAAGGTTTGGGAATCAAATTTGATGATTTTTTTTTAATCACAAAACATGAACAGACGACACGTGGGGTAATTCAGATTTCTACACTTTTGAAGACAAGTGTATAGCTACAAGAGAAAGTTAGAATTGAAAACCTTGAAATCTCAGGATTGTATTTGTCTTATGGCTGCAGAGTAGACCATTCGTACTTCTGTGTAAATATATAAATAACAACACATGCTTCCTAAACTCAAGTATATTCTCTATAAATACCCATCATTTGGGTTGTAGTGTAGTCTGATAAATTTCGGAAACATCAATATTCTAAACATAAAAAGAGAAATATAGAGGATGAATTAAAAAGAAAAGTACAAGTGATACATTTACGTTAATAAATGCTTCAATTTCAAATGCTAATCC